TCAGGAATTCTGGGAGTTGAAGTCCACGAGTCTTAAAAGAGCCAATGTTGCCTACCCGTCCTATACTTAGACTAGCGTGGAAGGATTCTCTGTGCAGTACCTTGATATGCATGGAGATAGTCCTCAACTTAGAAACAGTGGCCAATCGAAGTTGCAACAGCGCTGAAAAAAGTGACTTATGATTGATCCCTGCACTTATGACTGTCACAACATACCCACAGTTACACGATCAAAATTCAGGTGCGTGGCACTGAATTTGCACATATTTACGATAGCTGCAGTATGCTGGAGTCACATGATCGCCATTTGCGACCTTCCGGGCTGGCTTCTGACAAGGAAAGACAATGGGGAAACCAGATTTATTTAACGATTGTGTGACTCACTTAACAACTTCAGTAATTCACTTAACCATGTCATAAAAGTGGGTGTGACTCACTTAACAACTGCCTTGTTTAGCGGCAGAAATTCTAGTCCCAATTGTGATCGTAAGTCAAGGACCACTATGTGCTTCTAGAGCAGCTTACACATGTGCAATTAAGAGCAAAGCATTCTTGGCTGGAATTTCCCTTCCCTGCTGCTCACAAACCACAGGATTAATCTCTGAGGCAGATTGGTTAAATTCTGACTAGGTGGACTATTCCTGACCCTAGAAATACAATTCATTGAAATGTGACTTGGTTGGGTGAGCCTAGCCAACACTGGATGAGAGAGACACCTGGGAACTCGTAGTTGAATAGCAAAGCCTTGTTTTTTTTGTTTTTTTTTGGCTTGTGAAGGTCCTGAGTTCAATTTTGGGAATCTTTCAATAGGACGCCAACACACCAAGATATACCACATTGTCCTGCAAAAGCACTTGGCCATTCTACTTTGCAAGGATCCAGGAATATCAAAAAATCCAGGAAGGAATGTTATCTTTTAGAGAAGAAATGGAGAACCACGGCCCTTTTATAACTTGTGGACTTCAGCTCCCAGAATTCCTGAGCCAGCATGGCTGGCTCAGGAATTCTGGGAGTTGAAGTTCACAAATCATAAAAGGACCATTGTTCCCCACTCCTGTTTTAGAGGGAATGCAGCCCTTTATAGAACAAAGGCTAAACCTTTTATTGACCCATTGACCATTTTGGTGTAATGGTGTAGGTGCTGGCCTAGAAATCAGGAGACTCTGAGTTCTAGTTCCACCTTAGGCAGGAAAGCTCTCTCTCTTTCAGCCCAACCCACCTCCCAGGGTGGTGGTTCTGAGGAGAAAAGGAGGAGGAAGGAATATTAGATACGTTTGCCACCTTGAATTATTTATAAAACTAATAAAGGGGGGATAAAAATCGAATAAATACCTATCCTTTCAATTCAGTCAATGGCTTTATGCACCATCATGCAGTCCAGTAATGAATTTGAGCAAGGCTACCGACAGCTCAACTGGACTTAAGTGGCAAAGAGTTCCAATGGCTTGCACCCGGGCTGACGGGCACAGTTAGAACTTGGATTGGGGGTTATAGGCACTCTCACAAAATGGCTTCCATAGAGGGAGGGTATGGCCGATCCCAAAGCCCCACTTGAAATGGAGACATAACTGTTCATCAGCTTTTCTGGCTTCTGGTAGAAGATCCTTTCTACAATTTCTGTCTTATTTTTGGTCAGATGGACAAAGAGCCCAATAAAGATGGGGCTGCAGCCACCCAAACCATTTTGTTTTCTAAGAATGCTTCTGTCCTCCATGGGACCCAGTGATGGCTGAAGATCATGTCTGGTGATTTGTTTTGCAGCCTGTTAGTCTTCCATTGATAAGATCTGAGGGGAAGGGAGAAGGCAGGCCTCTAGGGAGATATCCCCATGCACCCTGCTGCCCACAGGTGCTATGTTACCTATGTGCAGCACACAGTAATGGCCCTGGTATTGTCTAGTATTTCTTGGGTATCACTAGAGGTAAGTCTTGCACTTACAATTATTCATTTAGTGACTGTTCAAAGTTACAACAGCACTGGAAAAATTGACTTATGACCATTTTTCATACTTACCACCATTGCAGCATCCCCATGGTCATGTGATCAAAATTTGAACACTTGGCAACTGGCATGTATTTGTGATACCCTGAGCATCCTGAGGTCATGTGATCACTTTTTGTGACCCTCTGACAATTAAAGTCAGTGGGGAAGCCAGATTCACTTAACAATCGTTTTGCTAACTTAACAAGTGCAGTGATTCACTTAACCACTGTGGCAAGACAGGTTGTACAATCGGGCAAAACTCACTTACTAACTGTCTTGCTTAGCAGTAGAAATTTTGGGCTCAGTTTTGGTTGTATGTCCCTCAAAGGGGCTAAAGAAAGAACTTTCCAAGATAGCAGTCATTCTCCAAGACTCGGTTCCATCAGTCAGTCCAGAAGGACATCACAATCCATTGCACTAAAAATCATCAACGGATCCAGAAAGAAAAACAGGAATGGATCCATTTCTCCATGACACTCGTAGGAGAGATAATCCTTCAAAGTGAGAAAAGGCAGATGCACTCCTATTATTTTGCCTGATTTCAATGGGTTCAGATTCAATCTTGGAAGGTCTTTTCAACAACCTTGGCTGAAAGTAATAAAAAAAATTGACCATTATATAGAAGATGCTTTATTCTCTCCAACAGTGGTCTTTTCTGGACTGACCAATGAGATGTTTAGGCCCTTCAGAAGAAAAAAAAATGCAAGATGCCATCTTTACAAATTAAAAGCAAACAGGAAAATGACCCTAATAGAATTTTTGGCCCAATACCTATTCTGCAGATGAAACTTCAGCCTTTTTTTCTTCCTAATTGCCTCTTCTTTAACAACAAAGCATGATGGCTGAACGAAATTTGAATTTCAAGACAGATGGAAACACTGTTCCATGATGAGAGCTAGAAACTTGAAGCTGAATAGGGGATCTATGTGCATTTTCAAGAAAGAATGTGCTATTGTACTCAAAACTCAGCTACCTAAGAAATCTTTTACCTAAGAAAATATACAAGGAAATGCAAAAACTGTATTGTTTGTTTAAACTGTATATTTTGCACTTTCCAATTAAACTTTATTAGATAAATTTCCTCTATAACATTTGTTTGTTGGATGTATGCTAGCAATAACTTTTTCAAAAAAGTTGCCTATGCACCAGAAATCAGATTTTTCATGGAATTGCATAAAAATTTCTAAAGATTTTTATCTTCTAAGACAATACTGCTTTAATCAAAATCTACTCAGTCAACATTACGATTTACAAGCAGTGCAAGAGACAGCACCAGATTTTTCTAAAAAAATATATCTTTGACCAAACACTGTGTTTTATCCACCACTAACCAATCACACTCTGTGTGCTAGAGATAGTGAAAAGATTTACCTGATTGGACAGTAAAAACTTCAGACTACCTTCTTGAGAAATTAAACACTGACTTCTGCTAAGACAGAAGCAGAAAAAAGTTGGAAGGAGAGCTGCATGGCCTAATATAAATTGGGTGTGGCCAAATAGGGGCGGGAGGGGAAGGGGGGGGGTACTTCCAGAATTATCCAATAGGATACAAGGAGCGTGATGTCACCGTGCTCAACACAGCATGGTCTCAGTTAACAAAGCGAACAATAGGGGAAGATATGTGCCCCATTGACAAGGGGAAAAGACTGATACAGATCCCAGAATTACAAACTTTAAAAATACAAAAATGTTATACAGCAACCTAGGCTGATTATAAATGCAGAGGTGGAGTAATTCTTATTTAGATGCTTGGAGAATGTCTTAAAAATGTCCCAGCGTACATTTCCCTACAATATATTTTGGCTTTTATTATGGTAGCTTTCAAATATAAAACCAGCAAAGGAAGACGGGGGAGCATCAGTTGATTCACCCCACCATACATTCATCTTTGCCCATTGAAACTTGCTCATTCTCTTTATACTTTTGCTAAGAAAAATGGGTTTTATAAATCAATATCTTAAAATGTATGGAAAGAAGGAAAGAATGTGAATAATTGGAATTATGCTGAGTGAGCAATTCACAAAAGGAACGACGTGGGTCCAGAAAGAAGCGGGACCTGAAAAAAAGGGGCAGAGGTGACACCCATTTCACATGGATTCCAGAAGATGGGTCAAGTTTGCCAACTTCTTATAGCCTTTTCATCCAGAAACAACAACAAGCACCCAAACCTGTGCTGAAATGAATCTCCTCAATGTGTGTAGCACCTTGTCTATTCAAAATAAGGATTATCTTTAAATACAATTCATAAATATGCTTACTCAGTTCTCTCAAAACAAGGGAAAGTAGGTGGAAATGGAATATTGTTATTTCTGGAATAATTTTTCCAACTGTAAATGTCAAAAGTTTTTTAGTTTCCTTCCTTCCTTCCTCTCCACATTTCTATCACACGAAAGAACAAAGAAGCTTTTAAAGTCTCCCCAAAGCCAAATGGAACAGGCCCAGAAATTAGGCGTTCCTTGGCTTTCTGGATTTTAGTAAAGTTTGAATTAAGGAAGAGAAATACAAAGCCAAATATGGCTGGATTTAGCCACACAAAAGCTGGAAAAGTTGGTGTTGGGTATAGAGAGAAATGGGGGGAAAATGCAGCATTTCTAAATGCTTACATAAAATAACTTAGATCGGGGTGTCCACATATATCGGTTGCCTCAGCAGGGTCACCTCCCCTTCCAAAGTTTTGTTTTTTTAAAAAATAAAATAAAATGATCAGCAGTTTATTCTATTTCCTCCAAACATGGGATGGTACTATGGATGCTGCTTTTAAAAAAATAATGAAAGAAATCTCTTTTCATCCCCAAATAAATTAAAGAGAAAGGGACAAACCCATATAAAATGCAACCTTCCCAAGACTTTTAAAAAGCTATGTAAGAGATTGCTGAGTAATTGGGGAGTGGGGGAGAGGATCTAGGGGCAGGTGGGGGGCCAAAACTAAAGATGGCGAACCCGCCCTTTCCTACTGATGGGCTAACTTTATTATGGACACAACCAACCAACTCTTCTTGCTTTCCTTGACGGTTTTACCTTGACGGCCCACGATTTCTGCCACATGTTCCGAGCTGGGCACCGAGACGCATTCTGTCATGTTGACACTCTTCTTGCGGCTGCCGATGATGCCCAGCTGCCCGGCCAGCAGGGGGTGCTGTGGCGGAGGGGGGTGTCCCAGATGGGGCTGGAAGGCCCCGAGGATCTCCACGGGGGAGACGGAGTTGGAGGCGGGGGGGCTGCCCTCGGCGTCCAGCAGGACCAGGCCCCCACCTGCGGGCGGCGCTGCTGCCAGGGGGGGCAGCCCATGGTAGCTGAAGGGGTCCAGCCCTCCTGGATCACCTGCCTCCATCAGGTCGTCCTCGAGTCGTGGTCCTCCTCCTCCTCCTCCATCCTCCTTGGCCGCCGCCTCCTCCTCCTGCTGCTGCTGCCTGTCCTCCTCCGCTTCGTCTCTCCCGCCTTCTCCGTCCTCTTCTTCTTCTTCCTCCTCCTCCTCTGCCGCCAGCCCTAAGATGGAAAGCTGCTCCAAGGCCAGGGAAAGCTCCGCCGCGGGGTCTCGGGGCGCCTCGGCTTCTTGCAGGAGAGGCGGGGAAGGCGGCTCCAGGCTGGGCTGCTCGGGGCCGGCCGGCAGGGCGAAGCTGCTGCCGGAACAAGCCGGCTGCTGTGCGATCTGGGGGGTCAGCAGCCCGCCCAAGCCAGGCGGGGGGCAGCAGCGGGAGGCTTCTCCATCCAGCTGGTAGATGGCGCTGGGCATGGCTGCCTGCAGCTCCCCCTCCGCCTCTTCCTCCTCCTCCTCCTCCTCCTGCTGCCCCCCCAGCCTGGGACGGGCTCTCTGCCTCCGGCTTCGGGTCGCTCTCTCGGGCTGCTGCTGCCGCCGCCGCACCGCCCCCAGATCGGCTCCGCTCGCCTAGGATCCCGCCCCCCTGCCTCCTCCTCCTCCTCCTTTGTTTGCTGGCCCTGCCGCCGCCTTCATCCAGCAGCCCGGCCCGGAGCGGAGGGGAGGGAGGGAAGGAGGTAGGTTGGACGGGGCGGGGAGTCCGAGCGGAGGCTGCCGGCAGCACCCCTACCCGATGGCGCCTCGCCGCGCCTCTGTCCCACCCAGAAGGAGCACGTCATCTCCAGCCCAACAATGAAAGCCTGGGGAGGGGGAATAGAAAAGAGGGAAAGCGCATGCGCGGGGAAAGCCTTTCTCCCCACCCTTCACCCCTTCCCGGGGTAGCCCCGCCTCCTCCCACGCACTGTAAAGGGGGTTGAAACCGCGGCCACGCCTTCCAACTTCTGGCTTGGGAAAAATGGGGCTGATCTGGGCCGGTAGGGACGCCTCCCCCTAACCCGATTTCCTGCGCTGTCTTTGTAGTAAAACATAGGTGTGCTGGCTGAATTCGCGTGGTGCAAGGGGAAAAAAAAGATACTTTGAAAAAAAAATGCACTAAAAAAAAGGAACCCCCTCCCAGCCAAGGTTTTTTTTTTTCCCGAGTGGAAGAGCGGTTTACTTGGCCGCCTTTGGAAGAAATCGCTTTTTTTCTAGCTTGCAACCCTGGGGTTTCCTCGTGGTCTACCATCCCAGCATTTCAGCCAAGTTCTTTTTAGGTGTCAGCTCCTGTGGACGTGGCATGTTTATTTAGGTCAGTAAAGAGCCTAATTGGTGACTTTTGAACATTGGCTAATGTTACCTCCCCCCCTCCGTTTGGTTTAATTATTGTCTGATCTCAAAAATGAACCGATAAAGGAACTACATTAAGAATATTGTGTGCATGCAGTTACTAAATCTTATTTTAACCTAGCATTGCTTTGGGAACCAGTGAGAGTGGTCAGATTAGGATTTAGTGTATTGTGCAAAACTGGACTTAGGACAATAATGCTAATCTTCTCATTCCAACATAGCTCTAAGTCCTGACCATCTTCTGCCTTCTCTGCAGAAAGAATCCCCTCTCAGTTCAGAGATAAACCTTCAGGTGTCTTTGAATTCCATGCTTCTCTGTCCCACTATTCCCAAGTTTTTCCATAGCCAGGAATGCAAAAATATCAGTCTTAGCTCTGGTTGTGATTGATTAATGGCCATCAAATTGGTGTTAACTCTTGGTGACTTGTCCCCAAGTTGGTCCTTCAGTGGTGCACCCACAACTGTTAATTCATTTTTCTGCTGGCTGTCTTTTCTCCTTCCACTCCCCAACTTTATGGACTTCTCAAGCTGAATCTTTGCATCCAAAATTGAGCTTGGTCATCAAGTGGGAACGCTGAATTGATTTAATGATTCATTTTATATGTTCTTGGTTGTTCATGATATTCTCTGGAGTCTTCTTCAACACCAAAGTTCAAAAGCATCTATACTCTTTTTTTGCTTTTTCCAACTTTTGCTTCTGTAGAAAACCAATGTATGCCTAATTCTGATCTTTTGATGCAAAATACAGTTCAGTGAATGAAGCCATGTGCTTCTTCCTCAGTTGGGACCATTCATATCTCCATTGTAAATAATCCCAAAGGTTTTATTGCTTTTCATCCCCCCCTTAAATAATTTGGATGTCACTTGATTGGTTAATAGTTATTTAAAAAAAATTTTTTTTAAAAAATAATGGTAACAAATTATGGTAAAAATTCAAATGCAGACATTAAGACTTCAGAGAAAATAAATATAATTTACTGAACAAATTGAAGTGCATTGTTCTGGTGTTTCATTTATAAAACTACTAACTACAATAAAAAATAAGCCTTTAGTAATATAATAAAGGTTGTACAAATGTAAAAAATGGAGTATGACTATCTGTCCTTATTTTCTTATATCCCTTGTCCCTCCCTGTACATCGGGTGTCAAACTGCCAGCCCATGGGCCGGACGCATCACAAGAAAACTGCACCCACCCCATTGCCAGCAATGGAGAAGCTCCGATACGTTGCACGGCGTCACGAGCTTGACATGTTTGCTGTACATAGTAACATGATTATTGTAGTGGTTTGGGTCTTACTGTTACTAGTTAAAACTAATATACCAGTACTTATAGTCTGTTTACAAAGCTACTGATTTCCCTAAGGGTGTTTTATTCTTGTGATTATTAGTGACCCCAACTAATAATTGAAGGAAGATGCAATAATTGACTTTTTAGCTGAGAATACTTCCCTTGGGAAGTACTTTTGAATAGACATTGATAGTGTTGAATTGTAAATATTGTATTGCTGTAGTTTATGAAATGTATACACTGCCCAACTCAACAACTCTAAATTATGGCAAGTATAATGAAGTGAGGGTTCTCACTTTGCCTCAACATAATCAACATAATCTTGGGTGAAGAACAGCAGCAAAGTGGGTGCCATCCACACCTTGGGCAAGGCCTCAATCCATAGGGCAGGTGCTGCCACAAAGGTGTGATGCCAACTTTTGAGATTGAACTGGTTGGGAAGTACTGTAGATGGTGCTTCAAGTAACCAGCCCCAATGCTATGTAGGATTTTCTAAGTACTGAGGCATACCCGTCATTGCTCACACCACTGCATTCTGGACCAATTGAACCTTCTGGGTTGTCTTCAAGTGTAATCCCACATAGAGCACATTGCAGTAGTCAGGCCATGAGATAAACTTGTTATGCCCTGTATGTATATGTCATATGGTTAACAGTTTACAAAACAAGTTGTAATATTTTGATATTCAGAGGAAATATTTAACAATATTCAAGAACATCTAGAAGAACATTTCAGCAATAAAAGATAAGCCCATGACATTTTTTTTCTCCCTTTAGAATTATGAAGTGTTTAATTTTGGCTTATTGTGTGCCTCTAGTAAATATTTATTCCTTCTATCTTCAGTTGCAAAAATACACAGCATTTTCTGGATTTGCCCTAAAATATGTAATTGTCAGAGAATTAAGTTTGTAAATGTTTCAGGGCCAGGTATGAATATATTTAATGTGAGCAGAAATTGTGCAAGGGAGAATTCTGAACCCCAAACCCACCATCGCAAAGAAATTACTTTTTTATGGATTTAAATACATTCCTATTTTTTCAGTGTTTTCTTCCCCTTCTTTTTCATTTGGTAAGTTTACTTGTACTACAGGTAACCCTCAACTTAGATCATTCATTTAGCAACTGTTTGAAGTTGAATCAGCACTGAAAAGGGTGACTTACAACTGGCCCTTGCCCTTATGATCCCTATGGTCAGGTGATCAAAACTTGCGCACTTGGCAGTTGCCATGCATTTGCAATGGTTGCAATGCCCTGGTGTCCCGTGATCACCACTTGCAACCTTCCCAGTTGGCTTCCAATAAGCGAAGTCAATGGGGAAAGCTGGATTCCTTTGAATGATTCGCTTATCAAATGGAGTGATTTACCTGGCAAAAAGGGGTCATAACATTGGATGTAACTAACTTAACAACCACCTGACTCAGCAACAGAAATTCTGGTTCCACTTGTGTTCTTAAGTCAAGTACGACAGTATATTATTTTACACAATGGGTGTAATTTGTTCAATATTTTTGTCACCTTGATGCTTTAGAACAATGGTTCTCAACCTTTTTAATGCCGCGACCCCAACTGGTCGTAAGTCGATGACCCCCCAACCGGTCATAAGTTGAGGACTTTCCCTGCCCAGGAGCGCCGTGCATGTGTGGTGCTGCCCCCTGCACCGGCCGAGGCGTAGCTGGCAAGGGGCAGTGACAGCACAGGGCGACCACCGGCTTTGCCACCAGCTGGCCCAGCCCAAGGGAGGTAAGTCATCCGCCAGGACCCACACGCATCAGCAACCCTCCCTGCACCCGCTGGCCTCCCACCTCCCACCCCTGGCCCTCTTTTACTTACATTTTTAGTAGTTGCTCAGCAGGGAGGGGTGGAAGCTTCCAGACAGCTCGCCTTTGTTGCAGACAACTTGTAGCACCGTTTGCAGACTGGGGCTTTTGGCGGGTTCAGCAGAGCAGAGACAGCCTGGACAATTCCTATTGGCTTTTGAAAGCCAATAGAATTAGACTCTATTCAAGAGAGTCTATTCTATTGGCTTTCAAAAGCCAAGAGAATAAAAGGGAGTAGCACAATTACGGAAAAGGGGGAAAAATGGCAGACTGCGTTGTTTGGCGATCCCCGTGAAATGGTCGTTCGACCCCAAATGGGGTCACGATCCACAGGTTGAGAACCGCTGCTTTAGATGATTATAAGACAAGTGATGTTCATATAAATAACAACCTGATAAACTTGATACAAGTTTATTTATCTGTGGCAAGCTACATCTTTTCATGATCTCCACCCATGATGGAACAAAATATTTACAGACTAAGTATGAACATCCCCTTAATCACATCAGCCTGCTTTAAGTCCAATTTATAAGGAAGGCAGCTTTATTGTTTGTGGCCCCATGGACCATAGCACACCAAGTGCCTGTCCCCCAGAGTTCATGTTCATTGCATCGATGACACTATCTAACCCTCCCATCCTCTGTCATCCGCTCCTCCTTTTACCTTCCATCTTTCCCAACAACGGTCTTTTCCAAGGAACTTTTCCTTCTCATTTGGTGGCCAAAGTATTTGAGCTTCAGCTTCAGTCTCTGTCCTTCCAAAGAACAGTCAGGATTGATTTCTTTTAGGATTTGAACTGATTTGATCCCCTTGCAGTCTGAAGGACTCTCAAGAGTCTTTTCCAACATCACAATTCAACAGCATCAATTTTTCGATGCTCTGCCTTCCTTATGGTCCAACTCTCACAACCGTGCATCACTACTGGGAAAACCATAGCTTTGATTATATGGATTGTCTGCAAGATGATGTCTGCAGTCATCTTGGAGCCCAAGAAAATATGCTATTTTTGCTTCCATTTCTTGTAGCCTTCCTACTGCCCTCCTTTGTTGAAATACAGTGGCTGATAGGCAGAATCAGTTTCCAGATAAAATGAGGGGTATCTCCTCTGCCTAAGATATTGGAATAACTTTTTGTCAATGTCAGCTGATGCGCGGGGTGGGGTGGAGTTTGTATCTGTAAAAGGGTGAAATGGATGCTATAAGCATTTTCCAGCCTTCAGACACTCATTTTGTGAGGCCCAATCATAACCCAATATTAATGGTTTAGTACATGTGAACCCAAATATCGTCAGTACTTGACAAATGTTGATTTAACACAAGGTGTGGATTCTAACATAGACTTCTCCAATCTGGTGCTTCCTACAGGCTGGTCCCCATATTCTCCAGTCAACATAGGGTAGTGTTTCTCAACCTTGGCAGCTTTAAGATATGTGGACTGCAACTCTCAATATGCTGGCTGGGGAATTCTGGGAGAGGAAGTCCACATATCTCGAAGCTGCCATCTGGGAACTGATATGCAGGGTATCTCCAGCATCAAGGGGAAGGAAGCTTCATTGTTCAAAATCCTTTTGGATACGTACTAGCGGGACCATCTGCTTTAGGTTATACTGTAGGTGAATTTACACATCCCTAAAATACAAACACTTGTGCATGGTAAGCCACTGGCTGGTTACTAGGTATGAACGCTACTTCCTTATTACATACTTTATTACTAGTGGCCCCTTTTAAAAGATTAAATGTATTATCCAGAATCAGAGCAGCCGCTGCTTCCTCTTGAGTATTAACTGCTCAGGATTCAGGTACCGTACTTGTCTGAGAAAAGGCACTGGATTGTGTCTAAGAACTATATAAGGAAGGAGGGAGGGTCTGGCACATGCATTTATGTTAAGCAAACAGGAGGGCTTAATGTGACTCAAAACTTTTGTGTGTAGCTCAGTGGTGTATGAACCCAATCACTGCAATTTTTTCAAAAGGGGAGTATGATTCAGCCGGATGCAACTTAATAAATGAGGTATTAATGCCATGCATGAATTTGTAGAGTTTGGGATGACAGATGTAACTCTTGCTTCCTGCCATATCCAACTGACCATGTCCTTGATCAGTGGGGTTAGTGGATCTAACTCTTATCCACAGCTGCTAGATCAAGCTTGGAGTTACATACACTGTAGGTGTAGTGATCATTTACGGAGATTTTAGATGGATACAGGGCTATGAACTTGTCATTATGACTAATCTCCCTCCCTAAACATTTTAGGTACTGAAAAAAATTCAGATTTTCCACTTTGTAATAGCTCTATAAAAGTTGGCACTTAGGTGGCACTGTTCCAGTTATCAGGAAATGTTGATATAACTCCAACCCTGAATGTTACCAAAACTTGCTTTTAGGCCCTGTTAACATGGGCAATGAAGAGTAGCCTCCTCTTTATAAGTGAAGTACTTTAAACCTGAGAATGCTTGTTACGAATAAGCAGCTTGTCCTTTTATTAATATTTTTGTGTGAGTTCATATGGAGATATTTATAATTGGCATTCAAGCAGGAAAACCCATGTCACATATTATTTAATTTGCAGGATAGGAAAGCATCCCTTTAAGAAGTTACATCTTTTATCCCTGCTCTCCAACTTTTTCACTGGGCAAGAGACACAACTTCAACCCTGGGGTTTATAGCAGTTTAACAACCAGTTAAATGGTTGTTTTTCTTGCACCTCAGCAATGCTGATCAGCCCAGCAACCTATTAATTCCCTATTACTTGACTATGAGAAATCCTTAAACAGAATATGGTAACATGGCTTCACCTAATGCAAGCTGCCCTGCAAGTAATATTAGTGTGTTGAACTTGGTCTCCATTCTGTCTGAACATTAGCGATCATTCATTTTACACATTAGTTGTGCTTTTTTGGGGTGCTGATTCCTGGTGACTGCAGTTTTCTGTGCAAGTTTTTGAAAGTAGTTTACCGAATTTTTAAAAGCCTTTTTTCTAAAGCAGGGGTGTCAAACTGCTGGCCCGCGGACCGGATGCGTCACCCGGAAGCAACGCCCATCCCATTGCCGGCAGTGGCAAAACCATCCCGATATGTTGCGTGACGTCACGAGTTTGACATGTCTGTTCTAAAGGCTGAGAAAGGGATTGGCCCATGGTTACCTAACTGGCTTTGTGACCATGGCAGGACTAGAACTCATGTTTTCCTGGTTTCTAGCCTGGTATCTTAACCACTGAACTAAACTGGTGCTCTATTCAGTTTTTATTTATATTTTGTTTAAAAAAAAAACCAAACCCTAACCATAATTGTAATGTTGACCATTTGGGGCTCTAAAGTACTTCCAAGTAGGGAATGAAAACCAAAACTTTCATTCTCTGTTGTTTCCATGGAACTATTCAGTGGACTTCCTTTGCTCACGAAAACCCGTCATCTGATCTAATGACCATCATTGCTCAACCCAGGAATTCTTAAACCCCTATAGCAGGGGTTCTCAACCTTGGCAACTTTAAGACTTGTGGACTTCAATTTTCAGAAAATTCTCAGCCAGCAAAGCTGGCTGAGGAATTCTGGAAGTTGAAGTCCACAAGTCTTAAAGTTGCCAAGGTTGAGAACCCCTGCCCTATATAGCATTCTTCTGCCTGCTTTGAATCTCTTTCATTATGGGACTGCTACATACATTTTTTTTTAACCTCACCCCCTTTTCCAGGTCTATGATTGGGAGTAACATTATTTGAAAAGTTATGCTATCCGTATTTCACTATATTTCCTCAACAAACAGTAATACATGAAAAATTAAATGTATGAAAAACATTTTATTACAAAACTAATATTCCCCAACAAGACTGTACATTAAGATACTGTTACAATTAAGGTACATATTAGTGGTAAGGTGGCGATAGTGGTGATGAGTGTGTATTTGAAAGACAAAGGATCAAAGAATTTTCTAAATTCTTGTTAATGAACACTACACTATCAAATCATTTGTTAAAAAGGAAAGAAATGTATCACTCTGGCTTGAAGACAGCCATACTATTTCCTTATCAACAGGGCTTCACACATTTGCGCACTAGTTGCAGCTTCATCCTAGCACAACTTAAGCACGCAGCATGATTTTGCAGCATAAAAAGCTTAAAACAATAATTTATGATATTTCCTAGGAATTATATGCTGAGAGGTTGCTCCAAATAAACAGAGAAAAGAAACCAAGCAGGGACTAACTCTTATGTGCATGCAAGAGCAGAAGAGAAATATACATGATGGATTTCAACCAAATACTCAAAAATCTGAAAACTTAAAGAGACTTCTGGACCAAAATCCTGAATTTCTTTTATAAGTCCAAAATGAAAACAGCTATATTAGGCCCAAGATCATATTTCTAATTTTGGAAATTAAAAAGGAAGATACATCCCACATTTCCAAAATATGTAAAATCTAGCCAGGATTCATGAACAAGGTTTCCATCAGCCCTGGCTTTTTTTTTTTTTTTAAAGAGATGTAGTACTGTCATCTAAACCTGAAATTTAAAATCCAGCACTTATAAAGTATCAGGTTGATGACAATTTATTTACAGACAGTATGCATTAGGAAGCAAGCAAGAGCAAAGATCTTATTATCTGTGTTTCTAGTAACCTAATCCCAGCTGAGGTGGAACTCATTAAGGCAAATTCTGTGTCATTTACAACTGGACTGGTTTGTTTGCTTCTCCTCAATTATGTTAGCAATTTAATATTACTATTTGAAAAGCATTTAATTATATGAGACAAAGGCAACCCACCCTCCAGCGACTAATTCAGTTATAGTACAAGAGGAGATCAATAGCACTAAGTAATCCTTTCTTTCAAATAGTTGCTAAAAACTCACACATCACCTTTTGGTTACATTTTCTCTGATTGGGTGATTATTGTCATCATTTAATATTCTTTCCACAATGGTTTGTGCTCATAAAGTCCTACATGAATTATAGTTCTATGTCATTTTATATTCATGCAGAAGAAGGGGACTTTGATCAAAATGTGGATCTGTATAGCTTTGGGGGCTCAATTTCCCAGTCCACATAGAAAGGCACGTTCTGTTGATGGGAGTTTTTTTTTAAAAGCAAATAAAACAAACCCAAATTAAACAATCAGATAAGAAAATGAAGACCCACAGCAAGATTTTACAAGTGGAATAGCTTACCTATACCATCAAAAATATTTTGTTACATGTAATTTCAAATATGTAGAGAAAACTTAAAAAAAAAATTCTTCATGACATCTCTGGGTTAAGCCATTTCGTTTTAGGGCATGCAGACACTATTAGAAAGAGACTTGGGAAACCTGTTTCAATTATTGGTCTGGGAATAAGACAAAGGAATTATGTTCATATGACTTTTTTGATTCCTCTATTGCCCTGTGATACTTTTAAGAGAAAAATGAGGGGGCAGAGGAAAGAAAAAACTGAGCTTAGCCAGTCCTTCTTCAAACTACTCAGTCTGACTGGTCCCTTCAGCTTCTTGTGAACTGAAGCCAAACACGTTCACATACGCAGATACAGTTAGTGCACAGCATTCTGAAGATGCACTTGCCTCTAGGTGGACCAAGTGCGGGCTAGTTCTGGAGAAAAACACCCTGAAGGAAAAGAGACACTTGATCAGCTACAAAGCATGGGGGATATGGCTCCAAAAGATACCCTGGGATGGCATGGGAGAGAGAATAATAAGATTCCTAGCTTGGGCAGGGGCTGGACTAGATGCCCTTCAAGGCCCCTTCCAACCCTATGATTCTATGAAGAAGTCCTCTCTACATCATACCACATTAGCACGTAGCAAGATCAAGACCACTGCCTGTGACTATGGATGGGTGGGTTTCCAAATAATCTCTATGTTCAAGAAATGTTTCCCTATTCTAAAGGTCCATGTGTACTTGCTATTCAACATTCAGGAGAGGTCAAGACTGTAGCCTCTCCATTCAAAAAACAGGCCAAGCCAACTTGATTTCAGGATCAAGAACATAACCGCCTATGGAGATTCAGTTATCCAGGTCATGGTTTTCCCAAAGGTGTTTTTTCAAGAGGCAACTGGACTTCCTTTCAAGAAAGTCTATTTGCCTCTTGAAAAAGCACCAATGGGACATACAATGAATACCATCTAATCCCCCACTTCTTTGGGACATACCAAGAATACCATCTAATCTCCACTAAAAGTCCCTTCTAGTTAAAATGGAAATGGAAGAAATGATCGGAAAAGTATTTTCTTAAAATCTTGAAAAATGCTATCCTTCATTGCAAATATTGAGCTTGATGATAAATATAAAGAAATATCAGAAACTCTGAGCTTCTTCAAGTTTCTTGATGTCGGGAAAACATCAAAATGACACTGCAAAAATATGCGTGATGGGGAAAAGGTATTAATGTGGAACTTTGCTACCTGGACTATACATTTTCCATCTCCTGTCCACGATCATCATCTTCCTCCTCCTCCTCCTCTTCTTCATTACTCTTTACTGCAGGTGTCTCACCATCCCTTGCTATCTCTTCCACATGAGCAAGCATGTCAGCCATCAAGGCTTCCTCTAGCCTCTTCCTCACTTGCTGAACCAGCTCTTCTTGTTTCCTGGAGAGGGAAAATTACTTAAATAAATACCCCCAGCACATGTTGTATCTATTCCTTTGTTGCACGCAGCAGATATAAGTGGAGAAATCCTGCTATCAGGGAAGAGGTAAATTATCGAAGAGTAATAGGATCATTCAGTAGTTCAAAGTTGAATAGGCAGTAGTTCTTCTTTTAATTTCTCCACCACTACCATCTTATGAAATTGGAATGAGAGAGAACAGGCAAAAAGCACAAAGTGAGCTTACTGAATCTGTGTAGGTCAGGGGTAGGCAACCCAAAACACTCAAAGAGCCACTTGGACCCGTTTCCCACCAAAAACAAAACACTGGGAGCCGCAAAACCCTTTTGATATCTAAAATGAAGATAACACTGCATATATCCTTTTTTACCTTTATTATAGGTGTGTGTATGTGTATGTGTGTGTGTGTGTGTGTATATGTGTGTGTATATATATATATATATATATATATATATATACACACACACACACACACACACACACACAAACACATATATACACATTAAAAATAAAAGTAAAAATATGACTCTTGGGAATATCCATACTATTAAAACAATGATCACCAAGAGAATGCTTTAAGAGAATAAAATTACATACACACACAGGTAAAAAAAGGATATATGCAGTGTTATCTTCATTTTAGATGTCAAAAGGGTCTCTCCTCCCTCCCTCTCTATCTGCCCTTGGTCTGCCACTCCTCTTCCCCCACTCTCTCTCTCCCTCTCTCTCTCTTTCTCTCTCTCTCTTTCTCCCCCCCCTCCTATCTGCTGCTCACCTGGCAAGCTTCAAGCTGTTGTCCAACAACCTCCGGGGTAAGCAACCTCATCTCTTTTATGACTCATGGACTTCAACTCCCAGAATTCCTGAGTCAGCCTAGCTGGGCTAGCTAGCTCTCTCCTGCCCTTCCTGCTTCCTGCTTCCTTCAGAGACGCAGCAAAGGGAGCAGCTCCGCCCAGAAAGCTTTTCAGCTCCTCGGAGAACACTGTGAGTGCACTCTCTTTTACACATACACACACACACACACAACACACAAACACACAGAGAGAGAGAGAAGCAGGGAAGTGCAATTGCCTCTCTCTGTCTCTGTCTCTCTCTGCAAAGGCAGAGGAGGCTGGGAGCCAAAGGGGAAGGCTCAAAGAGCCGCATGCGGCTCCGGAGCCGCAGGTTGCCGACCTGTGGTGTAGGTAATCGTCTAGCTCCGGAGACTTGTGAGATTCATGAGCAGGGCAACTGATCTAAAGAATTAATGTAAGTTGTCAATAGTACGGACTTCTCACCTCTGGTGTGGGTTCTCTTTTGTATAAGGATGATACCCAGGTGTTGTGTTTGGGGGTTTTCTTCCTTACCAATTAAATCTCAGATCTATTTGATTGGTGGAGATGAAATCAGCTATTACATATGTATTCTTGAGAACAATATAGGTTACAGTGGAACAGCAACAAGCATACTGTGGCTACAAGCAGTTTCTGGTTCATGGCTGCCATAGCACTTGCCAGATTTCTTTCAGAGTCATGCAGTGTGTTGTCAGAGCATACTGTTGCACTGCTAGATGCTGGCATGCCTACTTGCCCTTGACACTTAGAAAGTTCCTTCACTGTGTCCCAAATGCTGTTGGTGAGCTTGCTGGTCATGAATCCCTTACCAAAATTATGAACCCCCCCCCCCAAAAGTAGCTTGGTATTTGATAGCTTCAAAACTAGTCAAATTTAGTATTCAACTCATTTTAAAATGAAAACGTTGTCCTGGTACTCGTTTGTTTGTTTGGTACTTGACGTGCTACAATAGGAAAAGGGGGACAGCTGTGGAGAACGGATAGGAAGTTAGCCTTGCTGGGAAGGTTGCTGCAAAAAGAAGAGGGGGATGGCCACAAAGGGCAGATAGGAAGTTTGCCATGCTGGGAAGGTCACTGACATAGGAAAAGGGACAGACAGAAGTCCTTCCCGGCTGAAACCAAAAGATTATGTGGTAAATGCATTGTTTGGCACTTTGTTTGGCACTTTTAGTACTTGTCACACCTCCTGGAACCAAGTGATGATAAGTACTGAGGTACCATTGTAGAAAAAAAAAAAAAAGATCTCAATTGACCGAATTGTGGTCAGGCTGCAGTTGTGGTAGTCTTATGTGCTTTCAAGAACGGGAGGACAGGAACTCGGCACAGAATCTACCTGCTCTTGCTGGAAACAACATTAAATGTTTGTAGCCTTGCCTGTGAATTAGACTGAGAGTGAATGCCCGGGCTCCACTGTAGGCAGATAATTGCATTTCACAACAATTTTTTTTTTTTAGGACAGAAGCATAGATGTTTCTAAGCATCTAACAAATTCTGACACTACATAAAACACCAGGGGGAGAAATTCACCTCCTGCCCTGGGAGTCAGGCTTTACTACCTGATGTCTTCATCAGTCACCATGAAGGCTTTGCAGAGAGGTTGAGAAGTATTCAGCCAGACTCCGGGGTTTTTCTCAACAGCAGCAGAGAGCTGCCCAGTGATGGGCATTGTGCTGGTATGCAAGGCACTGGCAATGGCTGAAAGGAGAGTCTCATCAGTACATCCAGGTCCCACACCTAAAGAGGTACAGGATGATCATAGTTAATAAATGATTCTGTCTTTTTTGCTGATGCTATTACAAAATTGCTACTGATCAGCACCATCAGGTTTAAGGCACAAATATACTCCATGATAGGCTGACAGAAGTGTCGGGCACTAGCTACAGTGGAGAGCTGAGATTCAAATTTAAATCCCTATTCCTAAAACTAAAGCTTCTTCAAGACTTTTTTTTTAAAAAAAATATTCTTCCTTTACTTCTTTTTAACCTCATGGCCTAGAAACACAACTAAGGTGGAAAGCCTTTCCTCCTTTACAGAAGGCAGAGCTAACAATAAGAGGGCAGGATTAGCCTCCAAACAGTTTAAGCCCTGTGCCTTCTAGGAGAAGAGATAGAATTAAGCTCTTTCCTCCCTTTTCAGCAGACTGAAAATCAGCAAGCTTCTCTTCTCTTCCCTTGCTCTGTTTTGTTTTCCTGAGGATAAGGGGCACAAAATGAGTGTGTATCTCATTTTATGCACATGTCAGCGAACAGTGAGATTTTTAAAAAGGTATTTTGTATTTTTAACTAATAGTTCAAGCAGCTGGTTATGATGAGACATCTAAGTGCAGAAAGAAAGAAAACTGGAATCTGAAATAATAGTAATAGTAGTAGTAGTAATAATAATAATAATAATATTAATAATAGTAACAATAGTTGGAAGGGACCTTGAAGGTCATCTGGTCCAACCCCCTGCTCAGGCAGGAAACCCTATACCATTTCAGACAAATGGCTGTCCAGTCTCTTCTTAAAAACTTCCAGTGTTAGAACATTCACCACTTCTGGAGGCAGGTTGTTCCACTGGTCAATTGTTCTAACTGTCAGGAAGTTTCTCCTTAGTTCTAGGTTGCTTCTCTCCTTGATTAGTTTCCATCCGTTGCTTCTTGTCCTTGGAAAATAACTTGACTCCCTCTTTGTGGCAGCCCCCGAGATATTGGAATACTGCTATCATATCCCCCCTCATCCTTCTCTTCATTAAACTAGACATACCCAATTCCAGCAGCCTTTCCTTATATGCTGTGGCCTCCAGTCCCCTGATCACCTTTGTTGCTCTTCTCTGTATTCTTTCTAGAGTCTCAACATCTTTTTTACATCGTGGTGACCAAAATTGGATGCAGTATTCCAAGTGTGGCCTTACCAAGGCATTGTAAAGTGGTATTAATACTTCACGTGATCTTGATTCTATCCCTGTTAATGCAGCCCAGCACTGTGTTGGCCTTTTTGGCAGCTGCAGCACACTGCTGGCTCATATTTAAGTGATTGTCCATTAGGACTCCGAGGTCCCTCTCACAGTTACTACTATTGAGCAAGGTACCCCCTATATTATACCTGTACATTTGGTTTTTCTTGCCTAAATGTAGAACCTTACTTTTTTCACCATTGAATTTCATTTTGTTAGATAGCGCCCAGTGTTCAAGTCTGTCCAGATCCTCCTGTATCCTAATGACTGGATCACTTCTGCCATGGAGCTAAGGAAAGAGCAATTTATACAAAAGAGGAGATTCTAGCCAGAAACTTCATGAGACATCCCTGGTGCTCTGTGAGCTTGGCTGTTTGCTTGCAGACATTTGGGTAATGGAACGTCTTCAAGAAAACAACCAAGCTTAGAAAGCACTAAGGACCCCTCATTTCAATCGTGAGCTACAAATATTCTCCTTTATTAGAAACTCTTGAAAACAATTCAAGGATTGTGAACGAGGGAGATTTAAAGCTTTCATTACTGAAATGAATATATGGATAGACATAAATATTTACCTTCTATATGATGGAACAATAGCTTAGGAAAAAAATTCTCTTGCATCTAGCATATATAGATATATTTATGGCATTGTGCTAAGAATGCTCTATTCATTCAACCTATCTGGACATTTGTTTTTATGACCCAGTCATTTATTTGTTTGATAGCAACACTCCTAAAAATTCAGGCTTACTATAAAAATCATTATTTTTATCGTAACGGTCAAATGCTCTGAAGGATTTTTGATAGTGGAGAAGTGGAATGTAAAATATTTCCAATTAAATAATCAGCTTCATGATCTGAGGAACTTGGTCATTGCCATCAACAGTTCAGTTCTCTGTCAACACTTGTTGAAAGTACCTTGCAAACCCTTTGGAAGGTCCATTGTTTTCACCAGCTCCTCTGCAATGTCAAAGGCATTTAAGCCACTTAGTTTCTTTTCCCAGAAGAGCTAAAAAGAGAAAAATAATTAATTTTTGTAAAAAAAAAAAGGGGGGGGGGTTTGTGGGGAGGAAGGAGAAAGAAAAGTTATGAGTCTGTTACATGTCTTTAAAAACCCTGCAGTATGTCATTTTCCCATCTAATTCTAGTGCAGGGGTAGGCAACCTTGGCTCTTTTATGACTCATGGGCTTCAACTCCCAGAATTCTTGAGCTAGCATTGAAGTCCACGAGTCATAAAAGAGCCAAGGTTGCCTACCCCTGTTCTAGTGTTTCCCAATATGCATTCCTCTAATGTTATTCAGCCTAACAGCATTTTAGCTCACTGTGTCTTTGAAGATTCCTGAATGGTGTATACATAACGCCCCATTCCCAGATTTATCATCTAAAAAGACGGGAGAAAAGTTTGGGTAGGAAGCTGACTCAGGAACAAGGTCTTACAGTGACCATCTCTAATGCAGGAAAGCAAACAATTCAGAGAGGGGAAACAAATAACTTTCAACTTGAGTAAATGTAATGGCCCAGCTTCCATTCTTTACATTTCTGTAATTGAATAGATCAGCTGCTGGTCAAGAGCTGAGGGAGGTGGCAGAGTCTGGAGGATTTTTGTTTTGGATTACAACTCCCATCAGCACAAACTGGCATGAATAATGATTGAAAATGATGTAGTGCAAGTTATTGGGAGGATACCATGTTGTGAAACATTGGATTTTACTCTGACACTGTCTTCCTATCCAAGACATTTTTAAATCTCTAGAATAGGGATGTGCAAAAATTGCCAATTTGAGAATTCAACATTTCAGACAATTCAGAAAGTTGTGTTTCCCTCCAGACTATAACACTTTTGGGGTTGGGATGGGAGAGTTCAGTAATTTCCAGAATTAGCTTCTGAACTGGAATTGGTTTAGGATTTATGGCCGAACACCAGACTTATTTTGTCCATAGCATCTTGAATCATTCCCAGTTTGGAGAGAAATGGAATTTTTCTAGAATTTACCAGAATGGCTCATTCCCAGACTGATGAATTTTGCAGCTCTCTATTGGACAAGACTTTCCTGGCTAGGGTGGGACTTGAACTTGCGGTCTCTTACTTTCTAGCCTGGTGCCTTAACATTAGACCATAGAGGTTATCAAGGATTTCCCCCTTTTAAACTCTACTCAAAATACCAAAATATGTAAACACGGGCCAACAGTGGCCCCATCCATTTGGGAGAAGGTGCTCTGTAAGTATGAAAGGAATGCTAGCAACCTGCATGCAGCCCCAAGGTCTACAGTTCCAGATTTTACTTCATATTAATCTGAAAAGGGAGAAAAAACCATTATGAGCAATCTTTTCCCGCCTCAGTTAGGTTTTTTCATGCAACCCATGATCATGGGATATACTTGCTGGCAATTTATATTCCTTGTAGACATCCTTGCAACTTCTGGCTAACCACTCCTGAAATAAGATGCTGGATTAGGTGGATTTAATAGGAGTCTTTTAACAATATTACAATAACTTAATGTGGTATAATGGACAAAGCAGACTGACTTCAAAGCAGAAATCAAGGCTTATATTGCTGCTCAGCTTTGATTAGGCCTCTGCTTCTCAGTCTAGCTTTCTATGAGATCATTTGGAAAATATTTCAAATCAAACCTCCCACCTCTCAGTCACACCCCTTACCTGTCGGGGTTGATCAACTGCTTTTTGGGGGTCTGTCTTCACTTTGTTGCTGGGATGATTTGTGATCTTAGTGACTGGTTGTTTAAAAATTGAAGCTGTCTGCCTCACAGGAAGTGTGGTGTTTAAATCAGGTTTACCCTAAGGATTTGAGAGGATAGGAAGTGAGCAATAAAAAAAAATCATTCCAAAATTAAACTAAGATCTCTGTCCACAACATTATGGAGTTCATGATGATGCAAAAATGTTTTGAATCAAATTGTTTCTAATCCAAAATACTCTGTTTCAAATGCGAATCAGCTGTGAATAGGCTGAGCATTTTTAGCCAGAAACAGCTATGGTCTAACCACAAAGATTTGATTTTGAATTGGAAGAGTTTCAAACTGGTTCAAACTGACAATTTTGCAATTGAAGTGGCTTGATTCTAAACATTCTCAAGACTCCTAAAACTTAAAGTTAAATGTCTTTATAAATAACATATATTTTTTTAAGGATACATGACAAGAAAAATAACCCTTTCCTTACATTGTGATTCTGGAGAAATCACCTGATAAAAGAAACTTTTTTTTTTTTTTGCTACAATGAATTCTCTCCATTGGCAGCAAGAGGATTTTCTTGTCAGGAATGACAGAAGGACAGAGTTGCTTTCCCTTCATATCTATCTTGATCATGAATTATCCATTTTTCCTCCCAATACCATACAGCTTTTTAAAGAGTATCCAGACTGCTCTTTAGCCCCATCTTAGTTCAAGCCTTAGGTCAGGGTTAGGCAACCTTGGCTTTTATGACTTGTGGACTTCAACTCCCAGAATTCCTGAGCCAGCATGGCTCAGCTTGGAAACTCTCTTTTCCCTCAGCCTGGCTGGCTCAAGAATTCTGGGAGTTGAAGTCCACAAGTCATAAAAGAGCCAAGGTTGCCTAACCCTGCCTTAGATCAACAGCTTATCTTCCTATAAGGCAACTTTAGGAGTCTAAGTATGTATGTACAGTAAGCCATATCAACATTGTGATGTACTTTAGAGTGATAAAAAACTACAAATTAGTACAGGTAGCCCTTGACCTAAAACCATTTCTTTAGTGACCATTCAAAGTTACAACACCACTGAAAAAAGTGACTTATGTTCTTTTTTCACACATATAGATGTTGTGACATCCCCATGGTCACACAATAAAAATTCAGATGCTTGGCAACCAAGATTTATTTATGACGGTTACAATGACCTGGGGCCATGATCACTTTTTGCGACCTTCTGACAAGCAGAGTCAATGGGGAAGCCAGATTAATCAAATAACCATGTTACTATAATGATTCACTTAACTACGGCAAAAAAGTTTGTAAAATGGGGCAAAACTTATGTAACTGTCTCACTTATCAACAGAAATTTTGGGCTTAATTGTGGTTGTAAGTCAAGGACTACCTGTATAGGTCTATGACAGTGGTTCTCAACCTGTGGGTCGGGACCCCATTTGGGGTCGAACGACCATTTCACGGGGGCCGCCAAACAACACAGTCCGCCATTTTTTCCCCCTTTTCCTTAGCTGTGCTACTCCCTTTTATTCTATTGGCTTTTGAAAGCCAATAGAATAGACTCTCTTGAACAGACTCTAATTCTATTGGCTTTCAAAAGCCAATAGGAATTGTCCAGGCTGTCTCTGCCCTGCTGAGCCCGCCAAAAGTCCCATTCTGCAAACGGTGTTGCAAGTTGTCTGCAGCGAAGGTGAGCTATCTGGAAGCTTCCACCCCTCCCTGCTGAGCAACTACTAAAAATGTAAGTAAAAGAGGGCCAGGGGTGAGGTGGGAGGCCGGCAGGTGCAGGGAGGGTTGCTGGTGCGCGTGGGGCCTGGTGGGTGCCTTACCTCCCTTGGGCTGGGCCAGCTGGTGGCCCAACCAGTGGTCAGCCTGCACTGTCTCTGCCGCTTGCCAGCTACGCCTCGGCTGGCGCAGGGGGCGGCACCACGCATGTGCGGCGCTCCCTGGGGAAAGTCCTCAACTTACGACCGGTTGGATAGTCCTCGACTTACGACCGGTTGGGTAGTCCTTGACTTACGACTGGTTGGGGGGGGTCACAGCATTAAAAAGGTTGAGAACCACTGGTCTATGAGCATAAAGCTGCTGCGCTAATAAATCCTACACTGAATAAAAGGTTAGAGCAGATGACTTCCAAGATTCAATTCTGATTTTATAACTGGAGATCCAATCAGTCATACTTTCAACTGTTATCAGAAAGGCCTTAAAAATTTGGCTTCTGGTTCCGGTTTGGGGCGGGTTCGTTTGCTTAGCTGATCTTGTGGCTAGGTGAAACATCAAGAGGCTTGTGCCCTGCTTATCGAGGTGGAAGGAGTAAAACCACAGTTGGACAATCAATTGATTTTGGAAAAAAGATTTGATATCAATGGACAAAGGACTTATGATAAGAAACTGGACGATCTTGTTTCAGAAGGACAAGTTGGTTTGCAGACGCCATTTGAATTTGAGATAGAGAAAAAAACATGGGAAGAAGAGAAACATGTGATTAAAGAGGACAATATAAAAGAAAGGATTTTAAGTGAAATTTACTTAATGTTAAAAGAAAGGTGAAATGATGTTCTGCTACAAGTCATTCAGATTAACTACAACTTTTATACTAATTTAACAAAATGTATAAGGGGAGCTTTCTTTTTGGAGTGTATAGTGTGGCAGGCGGAGGCCCGATTATGGAAACCTGTTTGGACTAGAAAGAAACCCAGAATAAGATACAAATATTAAATATGATTATAGTAATGTGGTAAAGGCCTTACAGCGATTTGGATTGAGTTGGACTTGGATTTTGTTAAAAGGGCTTTATAAGTTTTTATTATTAGAGATGGTATAATGAGAAAAGAACTGAAATATGAGAAGTGATGGAATTAATTATTGAAGATTTGGAGACATAGTGAAAAACAACAGAAGATTGATGAGAAAGAATTTATTTTTGGAGTTAATAATGCTTAAATAAATAAATAAATAAATAATTGGGGCACCTGAATAGTAAATGAATATGTTAATTTAAGATTAAATATTTGTAAAATTAAGAAAGCATAATACAGGATTTTTGGAATAGATAATTAGTTTGTAAACTTTTATTGATTAATGAAATTCATATAGTGACATATTCAATGAAAATTAGTTTTAGAAATGTTTTAATAGGCCTATAATAACATAAATAGACAGAGAATGTTAGTTTATTTTTAATTATATAACTTGGATGAAATGTTATATTAGTGAATGAATTGGTTTTAGAAAGATATTGACTTGATTATGTTCTTAAGAAATGTAGTTTTATAGATTAAAATTTGTATTGATTAATGTAGTTGATGGTTAGATATAGTGATGAATGAAATCATTTGAAAATGTATTAATTTGATTATAATATTCTATATAGATAGAGAGGGAAATTTTTAAGAAATACTGGGTATATGTACTATGTTATTGCTTGTTTTTTTAAAAAAATGGATCACCATGTTTCCACGTGGGTTCTTAAGCTATGTTGGTGTAAAATGGAAAACTAATAAAAATTGTTTTGGAAAAAAAGAAAGGCCTTAAATTTTTTTTTATTTCAGCAAGCTTTTGAGCTCTAGGGTGATTATAAGCAGTTATCTGTTTTTGTTACTGCCATGATGATGATGATTTGTGGTGTAGATTTTTAAAATAATTTTAACTGATCAGATATTCCATATCAGTTTGCTTGTATGCATCACACAGAGGTGGGAAATCTATAGAAGGTGCTAAATCAGTGTTTCTCAACCTTGACAATTTTAAGGCATGTGGACTTCAACTTCCAGAATTCCACAGCCAGCAATGCTGTGCTAAATGAACACTAAAATAAATAAATAATAGGAGCCTTAATTCATAATATCTTAAGTCAACAAAGTTTAATGCAGTTAATTAAATCTACAACTGCCAGCCATTCATGTCTATGAAAAACAACATAGTATACACACAATGCAGCTTGACTGATGACTGAGGGCAAAGGCTGCCCTCTTAGACAAGGAGGGAAAAGCCCTTCCTTAGCATTTACTTAGCGTACAGAAGGGTCTAGGTTCAATTCCCAATATCTACAGCTAATGTCCACTTCTATTCCGGGAATATATAAGATGGATCCCAGACCCTCATTTCCCCTTCATGCTTTGTCATAAAATAGTAACTTGGTCAAGAATAATAAACTACAGAAATGATCTAAAAATGGAGTTCCCCAATCCACCCCTTTTTGTTCATAGCTTGTTATGTTTTTAAGATCATTTAGTTCTCTTCCGACGAGAATTCATGGCAAACTAGATGTCTCTGAAGGAGCAGATAGCAAGATCAGCAGCCAGACAGTAATTTCTGACCAGTCAAGTCTCTCTGGATAAAGGAGAGAGATTGTGAGATAGCCCATGTGGTTCCGGACAGCCACTCCTAATAACTAATGGCTTGTGAGTTAAACAGTTGAGAATCAAGGGATTCCACCAAGCTCATAGCCATAATGTAGTCTTATGGACACAAAGTTCTGCTGAACCTCATTTTCTAATCACGTTTGGTTCTTAGCTGATTTTCAACTATTAAGAACCTTTTGATCTTAGCTATAGAACTTTTTAAAGATGTTTTAAAGGTATAAAAAGCCTTTTAGAATAAATAGCAAAAGGATAACTAGAACATTGATTTTAGAAAGTCATAAATGGACTAAGATGGATTTGAAATAAGATTTTAAAATTTATCACAAGAATCCTTCCCATGGGAAAATGCTGTTTTAAATTTTTAAAAGGAAATGGATATTTGAATGTTAGACACCAGACGAGTTAGAAACTCCTAAAGATTACAATTAAAGGAGAACACTTAAATTCAAATTACTAACACAGAATGGAACAAAATACTTTAACACTGAACACATTGGAGATTGATTGTGAGCAATAGATCCAGAAGTTAATCTTTCAAGTGTCTGCCATTATAGATAGTCTTTCAAAAATGTTTTGGAAGAGGAACATGTTTTACCAGACAAGACTGAGATGGATCTTAGATTTAAAAATGACAGGCTATAAGAATATCGAAAAAGATGTTGCACTAGGTATATAAATGAAACCTTAATAATTAAAAAGGGATATAGAAATGGCATACCCAAAAGAATGACTTTCTATTTTGTTGGGTTTACAAAAGTGACATGTTAAAGTTTGAAGGATTCAGTGAGAAGAGAGAAAGAAAAATGAAAAGTAAACAAGCTTTAGAACACTATTTGAAGGGATTAAAGACCAAGATTGTTAAAAGTGAAAGGCATATATAGTGGGTTTTTTGATCAAGATTAAAATAGATATATTGTCATATTTATTTTTTGGTAACCGTTAATGGACTTTTGATGACTAGGACTGAATGATGAAGTTTTAAGGATTTGTTTATAGGTAAAAGAGATGAAGAGATTGTTGTATTTTGAGAGAAAGTGGTTGTTAAAATTGTTTATAATTGTTATGACAAATAGCAAAGCATTTCTTTATAATTCTTTTTTTTTATTATTACATCTGTCTGTCTGTCTACCTATCCCTCACAGAGGGGATCTGGGAGGTATACAATTTAATCAATATAATAAAACATTAAAAACCAAATAATTAAAAATGATTAAAGAATTCCAAGATGGGGAGACTAGGAGTTGTTAATAGAGGCGGCGGAGGGGTTTCTCAAGGGGCCAACCAGCCCCATGGCTATGTGGGCTCCTGGGTCCCCCGTGCAAGGCTACACAGCCAGGTTCTGACCCCTTTGCAGAAGGCCAAGAGATTGGGAGGTTCCCTAAAGCAAGGGCAGGGCAGAAAACACCCTCTTCCTTGACCCCACCATTTCCCTCTCTCTTGTTTTTTGCAACTTTTTTTCTAGTTTGTATTTGTATCTGTTTAACTGCAATGTTTAATGAAACATACACATATATAAAATAAGATGATTTGATTCAACCAGACATTTTGTTTAGAATCAAAAATCTTGGAGATGTTTTTATCTCCCTTTTGCTAAGATGTACTTTAGAATTTTTAAATGTGAAATCTATTTAAATGCCATCTGCTTCAAGTACAAGTTATTAAAGAAAGAGCATTAATGACAAAAGTAAATAGAGTTAATAAGGCATATCACTGTGTGCATTTAGAATTCAACTGTAATTCTCTCCCTACAGCCAATAGGGTATCCAATTTTTTTAAAAAGAGAGGAAAAGAAGATCAGCCTCACCTTGGTTTGGCTTGAACAGTCATACCGCATCCTTTGCCGGTTTTTGTTCACCTTGCTCATTAGCATCTTCCCTGTTCGGAAGTCAAACGTGCTCAGGTCCATGGAGTTACCCAAGTAACGGGCCAGCTGAGGTTTACTGCGGAATTTCTTCCCACTTGGACTGAGAAATGGGCAGAATTTGGAGGGGAAAGGGTGGAAAGAAGAAAGAACAAATTTAGCTTTTGAATTCTGGGCAGCATGTGTTAGAATTATAGCCCAAATACAGCAATTAGTTTTGGGCTGTTTGCACTTATCCCTGCAAAACTATAATGGCTTTGTTATGGGGTAACAGACTCCCTCCCCTTCCATTCAATAACTACAGATGCAACAAAGCTAGTTAGCAGCAAGTCACTTTCATCACTGCTGAGGACACTGTGGACAATACAACGTACATAGAAGATCAATGGTGAACTTAAGCTTTGTAAAGGGGAGGGGTTAAGAGCTTTAAATTAAAATTAAGAAAATACATGCTTCTCTAGATATATGGGACTTGTGCAACTGCTCAATAATTCCAAAACTACCATTTTAGCAGTATGATACAAGAAAAGGCTTTAGTCAGTGGGTATGAAGTCCCCCTGATTTAAGGCCTGCAAGTCATTTGTGATGAAAGTGTCCCATGTGGATTATTAAGCTTTTTTACTGAAAAAAAAAAAGAATGCAGAAGGCATTTCTGATCCTCTATTGTTCAAAGATAAAAAAGCAGCTGCAAACCAATGGAACCAATTCTCCACGCTTGCCTGTCTTAAAGGTATGCTGGCATTGTAAAGTTTTCCATGGTATCCTTCAGACACTGTTTACAAAAAAAAAAAAAAAAAGCTGTCTGCTTTTCTTTCACTCCTTTATTTAGTGTTACTTGAAATTCACAGACTTTTGAGAACATACATGGGCTGCAGGGGGGAAGAAAAGGGGAGAACTTAAAATGAATACATTGCAGCCTATTCAAACTGGGTTGAACAGCCTCCAGATGTCGACTCTGCACAGACAACCTGGACTCTTTGTTCTTTTATATTCTGATTTGCAATGGAAAAAGTATCTTTGTCCCAGTTACAAGCAAATTCATTTCCATCACCAATTATCTAGTTTCAGGAACGCACACACAGACATTTCATAAAACAGAAAAAAAATAAGGGGTTTAATTAAAACAAAAGCAAAAGTGTAACACCAAGCAGTAGTTTTTGACCAAGTGGGTAATACACAGCAGTAGTTTTGAACTTTCTCCTTTCAGGGATCACCCTTTCCCACTAAGTCATCTGCTAGGTAAGCAGTGTGATGTAGAAAATCACTGTAACACTATTATTTTAAACATAATCAAAATGAAAGCTTCCCTAAACCAATGCAACTTCCTATTCAAAATAGCTTGAATTAAACAAATTTAGGATCTGATAGGAAGGTAGGATATTTATTCGAATAGGACCTTTACAAAAAGCTTTGTATTTTAATCAACCAACTGATCCATACAAATGTCTATAGGGGGAAATACTGTATCTTAGCTTAGATTTAGAGCTCAAGAGTTTAGTAGCAACACTTCAAATAGGGGCAGGAAGTGAATAGGCTTTAAAATTAGATGAATGCACTCTATTATTTAGCACCAGCAAACATACAAGCAGCTGTCCTATATGCTATCTGAAGCACCCATACTATATGCAAGCACCTATCTTTCATTTGGGAAACTTTAATGTTGAAAAGTGGGTAAATGTTTTATAAGTATGTTATAAACAAATATTTTATAAACAAAGAGCTTAGTTATAAATAGCAAATCCAAAGGCAATGAGACACTTTTAAGCTCTAGTGCCACTTTATGTGCTTCCACACAGAGTACAAAATCCAGAGAGTGTGAAGCTACAAACTTTGGACAATTCCACAAGTTTATCTGCCTTGCCCACTAGTAGTTGTATCCTATTAGTCCACACTGAAATTCATTTTGTTTATTCTCATATTTTAAAGAAACTGCGTCCAGACACCAATTCAAGAACTCTCAGTCTACATGGGATGGTCAGAAACAGGAGGCAGTTATTTGCCAACTGTATACATCCTCATTATGCTTTAGCCCAGTCTCCAAATTGCTCTCTTCAGAGGTTTCAGGTTGATTAAAAATAAAAAAAACAGAAGAGGAAATGGATCCATCTAATACTGTATTGAAAATATTAAGTGGTAGAGAAATCTCCCATCACTATAGAGTATGGCTTATTTTAAAGGACTGATGCCACTGCCTATCAGTCTCAATCCTACTTTAACTAGACAAAAGTACGATGAGCAGCTACAACTGTGAATTAGGTGAAGGTTCATTCTCCGAGTTTGAGGGATGACTTCTGAACGTTTCGTTACCAGGCAAGGTAACATCTTCAGTGTTTAGGGGATGTCTGTGTCAGTGTTCTTCTTGTATAAGGGCTTCAGGTGTAGGAGTGTCAAGTGAGAGTCTTGTGATGGGCCAGGTACGAGTCATCAGAGATGTTCGCCACTATTACCAACTGAGAATTATTGTGGTTGGACATTCCAGATTCACACTATCTACCAGGTCGCAATGTTTCCTTCATTAGAAAGCACAATTTTTCTATGGGATATACATATTTTATCTTCCTGCTCTTGTTCACATACTTCATGACTATAATATGGTCCACTTTTACTTCTTTCCTCAGTGATTCCATGACACAGCTCTTTCCTATTCACTGTTTCCTAACTGTAAGATACAGGCAACCCTCAATTTACGACCACAATTGAATCCAACATTTCTGTTGCTAAGTGAGACAAGTGAGCTTTGCCCTATTTTACAACCTTTCTTGGCACAATTGTTAAATGCATCATTGCAGTTGTTAAGTTAGTAACATAGTTGTTAACTGAATCTGACTTCCCCCTTGACTCTGCTTGTCATAAAGGGTAATCAATCATATGACCTCGGGATCCTGCAACCATCACAAATATGAACCAGTTGCCAAATATCTGAATTTTGATCATGTGATCATGGGGATGCCGCAATGGCCGTGCATGTTTAAAAACAGTCGTGAGTCACTTTTTCCAGTGCTGTTGTAACTTTGAACAGTTACTAAACAAATGGTTGTAAGTTGAGGACTAGCTGTACTTCTTTAAAAACAAATCCTGAACATTTTCAGAAGCATCCCAGATACATTTCTCCAACTTACTACTTATAATTATTGCTTACTCAGTCAGGCCAGCTAGCTTCACCTTCTAAGTGCAGATAAAGAACAGAAAGGAATAATTCTGAATGGTTCTAGTGATGCTTATCTTTAAGTCCTACTCCTACATAGAAGTGTGCATTTTGGTTTCTTATTTCTACATGAAAATATTATGGGCACTCATGTCTCCATATCACATTTTGTCAGTTATTTTTGATACTTACCCTGTTGAATTTTATTCCTGAAGTTGTAAAATTCTAAAAACTACTGGAGTTCTCCAAATCTTTCATCACATGTATAATAGACAATACTAATTGATTACATGGGCATGGCACTAAAACTTTATTTATTTATTTATGAGACTTATATACCGCTTTAAGTGCAAGCACTCTCTAAGCGGTGTACACCAGTAAGCAATGTATATATATATTTACATTGCCCCCAACAATCTGGGTCCTCATTTTACCTACCCCGGAAGGATGGAAGGCTGAGTCAACCTTGAGCCGGTGAGATTTGAACCGCTGACCTGCTGAACACAGTCAGCTAAAGTGGCCTGCAGTACTGCACTCTAACTCTTTTTTGTTTTACACATCATAAAAAATATACTAATTCTAGATCAAGAATAGCAGCCCACCAGCATGTTTAAAAAAAAAAATAGTGTTGCCATCCTAAGATACAAGCTGTTGTATGTCACCAGAATTGCCCTTCTGTTAGCCATCAAACTGCTGATCAGCATGCCAAGTATTCCTTTGTGGCTCAGGATTATTTTTTTAATTTATCATTGTGGCCCTTTACATGTTGTGCATGCCTAGTCTAGACTAATTCTCAAAGATATCTCCTAATAGAACACAAATTCCAAGACAGTCACTCTACTATCATCCAAAATATGGGTGTTAAAGAGGTTTTTTCTAAAACTAGTGTTAAAAATTTCAGACATCCACTTAATTATACCTAGGATTTACATGTTCTGCCTTTATTTTCCTCTTTTCAATTCATGTGAATTGGTATTGAAGGATACAATTTATAAGATTATAAACATGCAATAACTGTGCTGCAGCCCCAAATCCCACCTATACAGCTTCCCGACTGACCAAGCAGAAGATGCCATCTCACATCCTTCTTCCATGAGGCTGAAAGACTGAAGACTTTTCATGCATTGGCAGTCTGGCATAATTTGACATGCCGCCAGCAGCACATTGACAAGATTAACAGACACAATGTAATTTTTTTAGTTCTTGCTCAATGTGATGTGTAAACCCAGGCTTATTTAACAAATCATGGTTAGGAAAATATGTGAACATAGTTACTAGTATCTTTATGCAACAGACTGTATCTTCTCTGCCCCCCAATAATTTAACATGAGCTTAATACTAGAAATACTGTGACTATAATTAAGATGTGGAGAGGGGGAGCTGTTTTGTATTTGACAGACTTACAACTTCTACCAACTCATCTTCTGTAGTCTTTCTGTTCCCTATACACCCACACAGGAGCATTGTGAGAGCATCTCACTGTTATTTTTTTGCCTACACACATCCTTAAATGGCTCTTTTTTTTTAACCCTGCTCACTCTATCTTTTCTTGATTGGCTTTCTACAATGTTTCTAGTTTAGTGGTATAGCAAAGAGAGAGTAGCTATATACCTATTCTGCAAATTGGGGCATCCACTCATTTGCAAAGAAACTCAGTTCTCTTGTCTTCTCCCTAAAGACTGTCTTGTACTTAGGGTAACACTTCTGACAGTTCAGTTATCATCCCCTACTGATTCCAATGGCATTTAGACTATAAATTTACATTTATTTAAATCAAATTTAAATTATCAACCTGCCTTAGCCTTGAAAGCTGGCTGGCTGATTTTGGGATAGTCGCTCTCTCTCAGCCCAACTCAGGTCACAAGACTGTTGTGCGGAAAATAGGAAGACAAGAGAGTATTAGATATGTTCACAGAGTTATTTACAAAAATTGTGTGTGTGGGGGGGAAACTAAAATCAACTCATACATTCTCCATCTGATCTGTTGTCCTTCCATATGACTCCTACAGCACCTGTTCCTTCTGTATTTTAAAGCCTCCCGGTCTCTCTTTCACAAACTCTCAGCAAATCTGAACCATTTAATAAATATTAGAAAAACTCAAGCAAGTTCTTCATCTCTGAAAGCACTTTTCAGCAAGTTATTACTGCATCCATGTTATATTCTGATATACACACATCTTCATTCCATTTTAAAAGAGCCCTCCAGGTAAATTTTGTACCAAAAAATGAAGTCTGAAATTAAGAATTTATTTACCACTTGAAATGGTGAGTAGACTCCATGTGGTTAATGTGGGGATGCTGTGGCAGACCAGCTGGCCTGTGCAGACCAGTTTGAGAACCACTGCTCTCTATTCAATATAAAAGTCTATTTCTCTCCAGAGAACCCCCATTGATATATCTCAAAATCCAGATGCAAAGTCACTAGAAAGGGGTATCATATTTTCATAGCCCCAAAGGAACAAAAAGCAGACAGCAACTTAGCTCCTCCACCCTGAAATAACAGCGTAAACTTCCACGAGAATATCCTGCAATGGCGACAGGATTGTAATTTCTTAGCATGTAGAGACTAAGAGACTAACCTGCCCCCAATTCACTGGGGGAGGATATATAACAAGTGACTGGACTTTTAAGATGTGAAATTGTCATTTGTAGTTTACTCCACTGCTAACCGAGAGAAAGCCATTGGCAACCTTCCTTTCAAGCGATTCTTTAGCTAAATACAGAACAAGGAACATCTGTAGCTTTCAAAAATGCTAAAGATGCCACTCTCCGCTCTGAAATGGATAGGACCTCTAGCACAGCACATATGCAGATTGAAAATAACCACTCATTCGTTTCCTATTTGACATGCAGAAACCAGTTTTCCCCACTCCCCACAGAACTAGACTTTCCACAGTAGATGCAAACAGGGGACAGGAAAGACCAGCTATATCTCCTCCATGCAGAAAATGTAGATTGAGCAGTCTCCCCTCTTTGTATGCATATATTTGCAATGACAGTCTCACAGCAGCAAGCCTGTAAAGATAGGTGGCAGCAGCCACAGCAGCCCCATCACCCCCTCCATCTTCCTCCCTTCCCACCCCCAACCCTCCCTACCCAAGGCCCCTCCGCAGTGGCACATTCACCTATAATAATAGACATCACTCTTGCCAGCAGAGAGCCCCGATTTCCTGGTCACTTCTTCCCTTTTCCATCCCTGCGGGAGAGCTGAGCACTCCCACCTCTTCCGATCCATTGCTTCCACGATGCCAGGGTCTGGATCTGGTTCGAGCCAGCCTCCTCCTCCTCCTCTGGCTCCTGCCTGCCTGCTTGCTCCAAGGTCCCTCCCAGCCAGGACTGCGGTGGTTTGCTTGCTGCTACTTGCTGGCTAGCTTCTGTTGCAGCTGGTGGCGACTGCAACCTCCACTCTGGCTTCCAGGGCCAAGCTCTTACAGAGTGCCTCCCTCGGCTGGGACTAGAACGTTCACAGAGGCTGTTCCTTTCAGTAGCTGTCAATCGCACCTCCCACCCCTCACTTCTCTTGCTGGATGGGGGCGCTGTTCCTTTTACCCAACCGCTGAGCTTTTTTGCTTGCATCATCAGCTCTTCTCAGGAGCTCCCTTCCCTCCCACTGCTGTCTCCCTCATTCATTCCTTTTGCTTTTCCCTTACCACGCACGTGCGCCTCCCCCCGCGGCTGTTCCATTCACTCATGTTCCTCCCGCCGTATGAAGGAATGAGGTAGTGAGCGCAGGCAGCCGTTGGTGAAAAGCCAAAAGAAAAAAAAGGCCACTTCCCATCCCGCCAAATTAAATAAAAAGCGCCCAAATGGTATCCCTCCGCTTTGGCAAGAATATAGTCCCCCGCAGAGATTTTTTTTTTAGCCACATACATGTGAACGGGCGATACGCACACCTGCTCCCAAAAGCACTGACAAGACTCGGGGGTGGTGGTGGTTCTACGCTCAATCTCATCTCCTCACGATGTGCTTTGCTCTCTCCCATTGAACCCCGCAGCCAGACAGCTGCGTACGTGTGACCGCTGCCCCGCATACTCAGCCCAGGCTACTTCCCCAAACATCACCCTTTCTCTAGGTTCCTATGAATCTTCTCCTGGACCTCCGACTTTTGGCAAAACCCGGCTCTGCGACCACCTCTCCAGATTTGCGGGCTCTGCAAACCGCCTTGAGTTCATGCCCGAAAAGGCGGGATCCAAACCGACACGGATCCACATTCAAACGAGTTCCATGTGCCCGGCTTTTGCATTGTCCACCACACAGCCTGGCTCTTCGCGGGAAGCTCTTCGCCCACCCCATCTGCCAATGGCCCCCCGCTGCTCCCCATTGCTTTCGCTGCCTGCCCTGGACCCCGCTTGGACAGGCCCCACGGGTCTCCCCTTCGCCCCCGCCGATTCTCCCCAGTTCATCGCTCCCCTTCCTCTCAGACACGTGCCTTCGGCGCCTCCGCCCCCTAGCGCCTCTCACAGGCTGCCTCCCTTCTTCCCTCCCGCACGGGCCGTTCGTTCGTAATTGTCGATGGGCACTTAATGGCATCTAACGTCCCACCACGCGCGGGGCGAAGAGGGCCGTTCCCCGACAGGGACTCCCCGCTCACCCCCCAGGGACCCCCAGACCCTCCGCCGCCAGCAAAGCCCTCCTCCCCTCCCCGCCGGCAACCCGTCCCCTTCCTCCACCCCATAGCTCAACCCTCCCCGTTCTTCAAAACTCCCGCCCCACAGCGCGCGCCTCGTCGATCCGCTTTCTTCGGCAACCCCACGGGCAGCGCTCCGGGCTGACCCGAGGCCGCCTTCCCGCGCCCGTTCCCCACGCTTCCCCTCCCGTGTCGCCCGAGGCTGGCGGAGAACCCTCCACCCCCCCGCCCTCCAAGGACTCGAGAGCGTCCATTTCCCGCATCGTCTGGACGCACCAAACCGCGCCCCCTCCTCAGCCTGCCCCAGGGCTCTCCGTGCGCCCAGACTTTCACGAGAGCCCCTGCTCTGTGTGCTCCGCTTCTAGCCTGCTGACCGGCTCGGCTCGTGCCCTGAGCCTTGTTCATGTTTTCAGCCCCCCGTGGCGGGCACACCCCTTCCCCTCACTCGCCTTGGCGCTCACCCCAAAGGAAGAGAGCGCGGGCTCCCTCTCGGACCCCCGGGTGCCCCCGGCGCCTTGGCCATCTTCCTCTTCCCCGGGCTGTGCAGTGGCCGCCACGTGGTCCCAAAGCCCAGGACCCCCGCTCCTTTCGACCCCAGAAGCCCCGCCCCGCCGGGCCAGCCCGCAGGGGACGGAGGCGGGGGGGGGGTCGGCGGCCGCGAGCACGTGAAAGGCGCCTCCGCTTCGCCCCCCGCGGCCTTTGGCGCCGAATTCCGGCTTCCTCCCTAGCTCAGCGACTGTGTCCCTCGCGTGGGATCCGTCGCGCTTGTTCCTCTTTTTATGTGCCTTTAAATCAGGATGGAGCTCAACAGGTGAGGCCTCCAACGCTTCCTTCGCAAACTGCTGCCCACGATCATCTACGTAGGCCCAGGGGTTCCTAGGCATCGTCTCCTGGACCCCAAGATATCTGGGGCTTCCCAATTTATATATATCTTGAAATTATAAAAAAATATAAAATGATTTGTGTGTAGCCTAAACATTTTCAAAAGGTTTCAGAAACCTTTTGTTAACCTTCCTCGCCAGCAGGTTAACAATCTTGTGAACACAAAAGAGCAGAGCAAGTGCGAAAAGAACCAGTGTTTATATTTATACTCTTTCTTTTTGCTCATAGAAGCAATGCTAGTTTACAATAAAGCAACGTGACATAATTAAAATCAGTTAACGATTGAAACCCTAGGGATAGCGACTCATCTTGCTGCGTTCCTAAATTCTGGGAGAGGGGGCCAAATGGTTTTCCCTGGGAAGAGCTTTCCGTATCTTTAGAAGGTGCACAAGAGAAGGGCCATCCCCAATAATTGAGCTGGCTGAGATAATTTATTCAGAACTCCTAAAGAGCTCATTAATTAGGCAGCTTCGTTGTGGACAATACACTGAAGCTGTATTTGAGCTGGAAGCTGCAAATGCCCCAGGTGGACTTTCTGGGGCATGATTTGTTATACTGGTTGTATGTTATATGTCCATCCAACCAGTGGATGGACAATGAATTGGAGCAGGATGACAAGCAGATGTGTCAAGACAATGCATAGAGTGACCAGAAGATGTCATCAGAATTTCAGAAAATTCCCAACTCCTTGCTGCCATCTGCAGGTCATCCAAACGTTTGCACTATTGCTGAGAGTTCTAATACTGGGAAAAGCTGCTGTCACCATTTCAGGTATCTGCTCAGAGTATTGCTCCAGCTGCTGTTTTTTGGTAAAAGGAGCCTGTCTATACAAGCCAGAACAGATTTGCTCTCTCAAATGTAGCAGTTGCTAAGGTGGGAATAGGGAGCTCCATTTGAAAGATCTGCTTGGCTTTCAGCCTTCTAAGGCTTTAAATTACACCTGGCAAGTGCAGGTCTTTCAGTGTAGTTGTGATGTGGTCCTTGTACTTTGCACCAGTTGTTTGGCTGCTGCCTTTTGTACCAGTTGTAGCTTTTGAATTATGTTTCAAGCATGACCCCCCCCCATTGCAGTAGTCAATTTTTAAAAATAAAATTCCTTACCTCATATGGACAGAATGACATTGTATCCTCCTACAACTTTAAGCTCAGGTGAAAGGATGCAAGACATTAGCCATCCACTCTGATGCAAATTTGATCACTATCGTGAATCCAAAGTTCATTTTCCTAACATTTGCATGAGCATGGGATTTGCATTGCTTTATGATTACGTGCCATCAAGTTGGTATCAACACATATTCTGCATGATCTGCCCCAACCGATTCTTTCAAGTTTTCCAACAGTGCCACTCATTGCTACCCTATATAAGCCCATCCACCTTGCTGCTGGTTGTCCTCTTTTTGTCTTTCCTTTCTCAGCATTAAAGCCTTCTCCAGAGAGCTGAGCCTTCACATAATATGTCTGAAGTGGGATAATTTGAGACTGATCAATTGTGCCTCTAACAAGAACTGTAGGTTGATTTGTTCACTCATTGACTTGTTTTCTTGGCTGTCCCCAGGATTCTCAGGTCTCTTCTCTAACACCAAACTTCAAAGCTGCAAATACTCTCCCATCATCTTTTGAAGTGAAATTGCTTTATAGGAATTACAAAAAAATTATCTGATAGATTTAGCAGGTCAATGGGGGAGGGAAGCAACTTTTAGGCTGCTTAGATGACCAATGAAGAATTGGATACAAACTAAAATACTATTCCTTACAGTTCTCTTTTACCCTTTCTACTGGCTTCTTAATGATTTGAATAACTATACAAAAATAATTTTGAAGCAAGCAAATGGCACTTTTCATTTGCAGTTTTAATTCTTGCTTATTAAGAAATGTAATTGGTAAAAAATAAATTACTGATAAATAAGAATTTTAATCATTGTAGCTATTGTTAGTTTCTCAGAATGCTGAGAAAAAATGTTTGAGATTTCTTAATCTTAAATGGTATCTACTTCTGACACACACATATTTCATAAAAGAAGTAAACCAAATACTTTAAATATTAAGACTGCCATGTGATTACAAATTAGTATGAGGCACTTACAAGACTATGGTTCCAACAAATGACATCAGGAGCCAGAAAAAGCCCAATTTCTCGACATTTCATACAATGTTTTCCTGCCTTTGCTCCAAGGAAATTATGAAAGATTTTACTCTTTTTTAAAATTGTACTGCTTTATTTTCTGCTTTAGTACATGGAAGTTTTGGGAGCTCTCTTGATAAGAAAATCATTTTGACCTGATTCATAGAAAATTGAATATCTAATGAATTTAGACAAGGACACACTGCTATAGAAATGAGCAAGCTCTGCTAAATGTATTATATCCAATTTTCTTATTTTTTTCAATATTTGCTGTAATAACGTTTTTACAAATGTTTGTACATTTCAGTGTATTTTGTTAATGTTTGGCCATTTTCATGCAGGTTTTATCTTATTTTTACAAGCAGTGGTCAAAACAATAATTTGATACAAATTAGCTGATAGTTATTTTTCTTCAGTTATTAAGAATTTAGATAACAAAAGATTTAAGCTGATCATTTCCCATAGAAGTCGGATTTCTGCTCTCTTTCAACAGTGAATAAAAAATGCATTACTAAAGACATTACTTATTTTCCTCAAATTGCTTAGTGGTGATAACTAGCATTGTTAGTGCTGATACTTGTAATCAGTTACATATTGGCTTATGCAGGGGTGTCAAACTGCCGACCTGCAACCTGGTTTCATCATACTGAAGCCACGCCCACCCCATTGCCGGCAATGCAGAGTTGTGATACGTTGCGACATGCCACGTCACATGGCAAGTTTGACACCCATGGCTTAGAACTAAATGTCAAAATAATTTTGCCTATTTAAAATCCATCTCAAAAAACATTTATAGTTTTGGGTACTGAAAGTTTTTAGAGGAAGTCAACAGGCTGAACGGAAGCAGGCAACAGAAATTAGTTGCCTTCCAATTTGGATCATTTAACCAACCATTGCATATCATCAGTAGAATGCTGCTATCACTGTCCCTCTTAGAATATCTTTTTCACGGAATTCTAATATTGAAGCCATATGCAATTGTTTATTACAAGAACAGTTTGTATAATTAATAATTTTATATACACACACACCCAGAAAGAGAGCGCGCATACTCATTTTTCTGGTTCACTTGAGATGGCATTTCTCCAAACCTCTTCGAAAACATAAAAGCTAAAAGAGTCACACACGTAGAGATGCTACAGGGAATTGCCTGTAGGGATACTAGCAGTCCTGGTGGTACATGATGATGATGATAGTGGTGCCCTATAACAGGATACAAGGAGCCTTGGTGGCACAGTGGTTAAGTGCAGTATTGCAGGCAAACTCTGCCCACCGCCTGGAGTGCGATCCTGATGGGGCTCAAATTGACTCAGTCTTCCCTCCATCTGAGATTGCTAAAATGAGGACTCAGATTGCTGGGGAAAATATACAAATAATGCTTCTACATTGTAAACCACCCAAATAGCACTGTGGGTCAGTATATAAACCTAAATGCTATTGCTATATTTGTTAGGCTTACAAAGAAAGTTCAAGTTAACATTTTCTTAGTAGTTATATATCTGAATTTATAATCTGGAAGCTGCCATATCCAAATAATTTGTAAAAATATTTCTCAGAAGATGTTTCAGCATCCAATAATAAGCAAGATCTCTAAAGTTCTTAAAAGGAATATGGAAGTTATAGTCTAACATGGGAGGAGGAACTGAAAAGGGACACAATGCTGGAAAACAGTACTGAAATGCTGTGTTACATAGGAAATGCAATGATGTAAAATAGCTATTTTTTCCAACAATTATGCTAGAAGGAAAATCAGGCATGCCTTTTTCTGGGTTTCAAACTCATCGATGTAAATACTTTTCTAATACAAAACCAAAATAGGTAATGTCAAAGTAATAATTTAATAGCTAAACAGCTTACGTAATGATAGAAAATGTAATGATGCTATGTAACGTAAGGTGGATGATGCAATGATAGGAATGACTCAGCAGGGTCTGTATCCCTTTAAGAGCCTGAGTATAAAAGGGAAGGCTTTGCTGGAGTGTCTTTCTCTTCCGTTTGCCTGCTGTAACTACTGTGTGTTGGATTCTGCTGCATTACGTGTACATATATTGTTCCTGGTGTATGATATTGTAGATAGTGTTAGATAAACCACCATTTAATATAGAACACGGTTTACTGTATATACATTAATTCATACAATGAATACCCACAGAGGGAGAAACAAAATACATTGCTGCGTAGATCCCATGAGCTAAGACATTTATTGGCAACTGCTCATTGGGAATAAAATGAAGCTGTTGTGCACTTTCATGGAAGGTGACATCAGAGACTCAGACCAGGAACACCGAGAAGCAGCTTCCCCAAATCAAAGTAGCCCGGCCTGCAGGAAGAAAAGAAGGGAGAAGGGCAGTGAGTGTTGGATAAATGCAAACTGAATGAAAAAAAAATTAAATACAGAATGTCAATGTTAAATAGCAATGAATGCAAAGAGAATAAATGAGAACTGAATCAGAACATATATGTGGAAGAAATCTGAATGGGTTAAGAGGAAGGTGGACATTAAGAAAGTCTTGGAGGGAATGAAAGATCCTAAAAAAAGAGATGATTACCTATAATTTAACAAACAAAAGACAATGTACAAGGCAGTGAGGTATATAGAAGATAGGAGTAAGGATGGTTAGCAAAGACAAAGGTATTGAAGTACAATGAATAGTACTGATGTAAACTGGATTTGGCTTTCTTTTTCTAAGTTCATACTTTATTTTGCTTACTACAAGTGGTCCTCGATTTATGATAACTGAGTCCCACAATCATAAGTCATGATGGCTGTAAAGCAATCACCATGTGACCAGTGGTCATAAAGTGAATAAGCAAACCCGTTGTTCATTATGGAGCGGTTGTTGCAAGAAATAAATGCTGGTTTCCAGCAAAAATGTCATACATTGCAGTCATGTATCACAGGGCATTGCAAATGGCCATACATGGGAGTCAGTTGCTAAGTGCCCAAAATGTGGTCATATGGCCATGGGAGGCAGATGGAGGAATTTCAAATTTAGTTCATAACTAGCTTTTTCAGGGTCTGTCATAACTTCAAACGGCTGCTAAATGATGTCTGAAGTTATGGCAGTCCCTGAAAAAGCTACTTATGATCCTTACGTCTGTCATAAGTCAAGGACTACCTGTCTTTATTTCTCCTTTTCTGAGTTCTACATAACCTTGATTCAGCTTTAAGGTAATAAAGGAGGGGTCTTCAAACTTGGCCCTTTTATGACTTGTGGACTTCAACTCCCAGAATTCCTCAGCCAGCTTGGCTGAGGAATTCTGGGAGTTGAAGTCCACAAGTCATAAAAGGGCCAAGTTTGAAGACCCCTGTAATAGAGTAATGAGTATGTGTATCTGAATTATCTTCAAACAAAGGTCAAAATGCCTTGCTCTGTTTTATCTTGATGCTCCATAGGAAAGAATCTTTTCTGGGATGTCATTTTACTCATTCCATTCCATTTCTAAGCTCAATTTATTTATGTATATTAATCCACCATCCTCCTCCCAAAGCACTGGGTGGTTTACAGAAAAAAATAAAAATATAAATGAATAGACTCTGTATTTTGATAACAACATGTATAAAAAAACAGCAGCCTAATCACATCTCATATAACCAATAATAAGAATCATACTCAAAGGCCTAAACTCTCTTCACAACATCAGTAAGGTGTACCTCTGGAGGTGGCAGCATGGTGGAGGCCATTACAGCAGACTGCCTTTGGATTCAGGTCCCCATAATTTTTCATAAGGATGGGACTCTACATTCACCACACAACTCAAATGTTTATCTTGCTAGATTCTGGATTCCAAAATGTAGAAGTGCTTTGAAAAGGAAGCTGGTAACATCATGTCTATCTTGCTTCGTATTAACTATCCAGACTCTAGTTCTGTCACAGACATCAAGAGCACAACTTATGCAAGTGGCTTTGACAAAAATACTTTCTAGTATCTCAATCAGCATCTTTAGCTTTCTCATCACTTGTTTGGCTCCCTTACTGGCTGTAATAAAGATTGAATATGCTTCCTTCTATAACGATGGAAGAGTGTGGAACACAAACAGCTGAAAGTGTGATTGCAATGCAGAAATCTGAGGGATTAAATGCCTCTTTTAAAAGGAAATTACTAACAAGGGTGAGATGCATTCAAACAAAGCCTAGAGAAAAGAGAATGAGAGATTAACACAATGTGTTTGTGATATGGGAGAGAAGGAAGCACACAAGATAAATAGAGGAACACAAGAGAAAGAAAGATAGCTGAGGGAGCTAAGCACGTAATAAAGTTGGAAGGGACCTTGGAGGTCTTCTAGTCCAGTGTTTCCCAAACTTGACAATTTTAAGGCATGTGGACTTCAACTCCCAGAATTCCACAGCCAGCGTTGCTGGCTGTGGAATTCTGGGAGTTGAAGTGCTCATGCCTTAAAATTGTCAAGTTTGGGAAACACTGTTCTAGTCCAACCCCTTGCTCAGGCAGAAAACCCTATACCATTTCAGACAAATGGCTGTCCAGTTTCTTCTTAAAAACTTCCAGTGTTGGAGCATTCACAGCTTCTGGAGGCAGGTTGTTCCACTGATTACATATGAAATATTTTGTGTATTAATTCAATAAAGTTATCCATGCTTCTGGTTGCAGGAATTCATTGCAATATTCATAAGTTTAGTGATTAAGGATTCAGAAAAAATCTTGATGGCCTTGTCAAAACAAAAAGTTATGCTTGCCAGGAGGTGTGATTTTTTCAACTACTGGATCTTGGAGCTGTTCTTCATGTCAAAATTTGAAGCTGGGGAAGGTACAGGTAATCCTCGACTTGCAACATTTCATTTAGTGGCTGCTCAAAGTTGCAACGGCACTGAAAAAGTGACACAATAGTTTTCACACTTAAGACCATTGCAACAGTCATGTGATCAAAATTTGGGTGCTTGGCAATTGGTATGTGTTTATGACAGTTGTAATGTCATGCGGCCTTCTGACAAGCAAAGTCAATGGGGAAGCCAGATTCACTTAACAACCGTGCTACTAACTTAACTGCAGTGGGCTCAATTGTGGTTGTAAGTTGAGGACTATTTGCATACAATATTTTTGGGGAGAAGGAAGCCAAATCAATGTTGCCAGAAGGGCATAATTTTAAGCAGGGAAGCCTCACACAGTCTTACCTAATAGTACAAGATTTGCTCACTCATCTTTCTTAAACTTGCCGTTGATCCATGGGATATAACCCATGATCACCTTCCAATCTGTGAGCCAAACGCCTCCTATGATGACACTGGTGGCCCAGAGCGAATATACACTCTTCCTGTAATATGGAGAAAATAAGTAACTTGAACAGCAGTATTTTAAGTTTTAGAATATTTCTTGTTATGAAAACTTTCACATTTGATGGGTCCTTTTTGCAGAGAGCTTTCAATCACTTGTAATTGCCACAAACCTTTAAAGGTCAGCTACAGACACTTATCGAAACTGCAAATAGGCCATTTTGAAATACTGTTTTCTTCTTCTCATATTATGCGTGCTTTTTATTTAAGTATATTTTTAAAGAGAGAGAAGAGAGGGAGAGAGATAATAAACCATTTCAGGTTAGAATGTGTTTTACAAAATGGGAATCCCAGAATGTTTCATTTTTCTCATATGAATCCTACACACAGGTCAGGAAACCAGATTGGAAAGGAATGGCGAAATGGACAAACTCTAGGTTGGCAAAGTCATGAGAAAAGGTTGCATATTCTCCCAACCTACGTGGGGAATACTCCTTAAAGCTGAATTGAAAGAAGTTGAGCATGGTTTTAAAACTGGAGAAACTATCCTTTATAATACCGCAAGGATAGGATTATCCTTTATAATACCGGAAGCTTATAACACACCTTTCAGAAAGCTGTCCTTTATTATTTTGAACTAAAGAAATGTCCTTTACAACAAAGGGTACGCCTTTATTTCAGAAAGCTGTCTTTTATTAGAATAGGCGTTTTTCTAAAGCTATTGTTGGCTTTGCTGGTGGTTTTACAACAAAGGAGATATTGTCACGGTAGTTTTATTGGACCGTTCTTAATTTTTGAGGCATCTCGGTTTTGTTGTTAGGAGTCTCCCAAGGAAACGATGTAGGGGTTAAGTTTGGGAGGATATTATTTTATTGCTGTTTTACGTTTGCATTCTAATGTATGGCTTTGCGGGGAGGGGGTGAAGCCACCCTTCCTCAACTTGTTACCCCTCCCCCCGCCCTTGACAACTAGGGTAACGTGGCCAAAGTGGCTCGAAAGGCTGGGATATGTAGTCCTCGAACGCCTGCAAGGCAACAAGTTAAAGGAAAGCTGCTTGGAACTGGAGGGCTGAGAGGGACTAACTGCAGGAGCAACGATCCCACTTCCCAGCACACCAAGCAGCGGAGCCGCATCCCAGCCCGACTCACTGTTTGCGTAGATGCTCCACCAGGCTGGGCTTCAGCCCGAAGAGCGCCATGCCCGCTTAGTTGAAGGTCGCCCGTCCGGCTCGCCCGCGCCCAGCTCCTCTCTCTCCTCTCAACCCCCGGAGCGCATGCGCAACGCCGCTAGAGCTACTCACCGGTATATAGACCTAGGATAAAGGTCAGACCGCTGCGCTCGTTTTTGAGTCGGAATGTGGAAAATTTTCTCTAACAAAGTAGTTTGTTTTTTTTAAAAGGAAAACTCGGTGAAATAGCAGAACAGACAGATGAAACATACGAGAAAGCTACCGTACAGTACAGGTAATCCTCGACTTACAACAGTCCATTTAGTGACTGTTCAATGTTACAACGGCACTGAAAAAAGGGACTGACGACTGTTTTTCACACTTATGACCATTGCTGCATCCCTGTGGTCACCTGATCAAAATTCAGATGCTTGATAATTGGCTCATATTTATGATGGTTGCAGTGTCTAGGGGGTCAGGTAATCCCCTTTTGCGGCTTTCTGACAAGCAAAATCAATGGGGAAGTCCGATTCACTTAACACTCATGTTACTAACCTAAGAAGTGCAGTGATTCACTTAACAATGGTGGCAAGAAAGGTCGTAAAACTGGGGCAAAATCCCCTTAACAACTGTCTCACTTAGCAACATAAATTTTGGGCTCAATAGTGGTTGTAAGTTGAGAACTACCTGTATCTTGTTCTGTAATTTTTGATTGTTTCCAAAATTTCCCTCCGTGATCTGTGAAGTGATCCTGCAAATGAAACAGTGGGGCTGTTAAGGTTGGTTGGGATTCCCTCTGAACAAAATAATGCCATTGCTGAAAGTAACTGCCTTTAAAGAGGTTCACTTTTCACGCTCAGCTTGGTTGCACCCAAATATTTTAGTTTTTCTCAACCTTGGCGGCTTGAAGATGTGTGGACTCTAGAATTCCCCAGCCAGGAATTCTGGGGAATTCTGGGAATTGAAGTCCACACATCTTCAAGTTCCTGAGGTTGAGAAACACTACTTCAAATGATCCATTGATATAAAAATACACCTTGTAAATTCTACACATACACAACAAAGCCCACACCTCTCCACAAAAATTAAACGATGGAGTCCTAAGGGCGTAAACCCTCCGGGCTATCTTTTTTTTTTTTTACCTTGGCAAAACACAATAGCTCATTTAAAAAAGCTCTCGTCAATCTGGATAGAATTAGCTGGCTGCGAGTCTATACAAAAGTCTATGTTCAACATTATCCCGCTTTCCCCTCCTTCTTTGTGACGCATTACAGTGCGCGGCGCTCGCGAACTACCCTCTCCAGGAAGGACCCTACAAGGTTGTATTTAGTGGGAAAGGAGCATTGGGCGTCCTTCGCAATGCCTTGTAAACGTCTGCATTCAAGATAATAAAATACTGCAAAGAGTTCCATTCTGAAATTCAGTCTCTTGCAGCAATCAGTCAGAGACATTTTAGTCACAACTGCAAATATGATTACACTTAACAGGGACTGGGTGTAACTATTTGTTTAATATTTGCAAAATAACAAAAATGCAAACTCTGCTTAGGGTTCAAATTGCGGCACTATAATGGAAATCTTAGCACAAGCTTTTTTTTTTTTTAAAGGGGGGTGACTACACATTCTTGGGTCAAGCCAACCTTTTCCCAAGAGTTCTTTTCAAAATGTTTGGACAATAAAGTCCCAATCTTAATTGAGCATGCTACTATGGAATGATAGGACGCCTAGGTAGCTTAATGCCTTTGGAGAACTTTGGAGTTACTCAAGAGGCTTGAGCTTGGAATGTATGTAACCAATAATAGCAAATTGCCTGAGACGAGGATACATATTGTTTCTCAACCATTATATTCTTTATATAAATTAAACAGACATATGGCCTGCATATTAAGTACAATTGGAGCAAGATGGAACAGACCTGTGGGAATAAAAACTGGAAGTTGAAAACTTAATACTTCGAAAGAAACAGGTGATATATTTGTATTACTAAAATAAAGAACATAGCTTGTTACAAAAGAAAAAGTGAAAACTTTACTGAATATCAGAAAGAAAAAATATCAACCTGCATACTTTGTAAACTTGCAATTGACAGCAAAAAAGATAAAAAATAGCTCTATGTACTTGGAGTCTGGACAGTAGACAGTGGTTGAGGTTAATCCAAAGGAACAAGGCAGTGACCAACATAAGACAAAATAGTGAAGAATAAGACCATTTCAATGACAATCAAGATCATAGTTAAAGCAACAATCTTTCTGGTGGTTCAGTGAAAACAAAGTCTTGAGAAAGTGCAAGAGAAACATAATAGATACCTCTGAACTATATTTTTGGAGAAGTATTAGACAGCAATGGCATTTCCTGTGACACTCAATGGAAGCAGAAGATGGATTTTGAAGCATGATACAAAGTATTGACCCTTTAGAAACTTGGAGACATTTCTAAGGTTTGGTGTTGGAGAAAAGTCCTGAGATTCCCATGATCAGCCCAGAAAACAAAGCAATAGAGCACGGGTGTCAAACTTGATCACATCACGTGATGTAGCATGATGTATCGCAATATTTTTGCCTTTGTGGAGCTGAGGGTGACCTGCACGCGACACATCTGGCCCACGGGCCGCCAGTTTGACACCCCTGCAATAGTTCATCAAACAAATCAACCCAGAGTTCTCACCTGAGGCTCAAATAGACCAGGCTCAAATTATACTACCTCAGAAATGCAAAAAACAACCTCTAATGCTGGGAAAGGTTGCCCTTGAAGAGCATCTGGGAGCTTCAGTTGGTGCAAAATGCCTCAGTGCAGGTAATTATGTGTGCCCCTAGACCTGCACATGTCATACCTCTATTCCACAAGCTGTGTTGGTTGCCAGTCTGCTGCTCAGTTCAATTCATGGTGCTGAATTGAAGACCTACATGGCAGGGGGCTAAGTTATTCATTTAGTATCTCATCAGAGCCAACAGAAAGGGCATGTTATGGATTCTATCTACTAAGGAGTTTTATCTGCCAGGATTCAGGACAGCATTTTTTGTGGTGGCATCTGCTCTTTGGAACATCATTCCCTCCTATCAAGGTGAGGTTATGACCTTTATGACTTTCCAGAAATCATTTAAAATATGGCTTTTACAGCAACCCTGGGGATCCTGCGAAAGGATAGAATTTGTGAAGAAGTTGCATTGTTCATATTTTTGGAATGCACTCTTCTCTGCTTTTTGTTATACTTGTAAACTAAAAAAACTTGCATTTTAATATTTTTAAATGTTTTTGTTATTTTAATTGTCTGTGCTAGAGTCACATATGTGAGATGGTTGGCTCCATAAATTTAACAAATAAATACATAATTTTAAAAATGTGCCAATTTTTTTCAGCAATCTGACTTTTGCCTGATGCAGAAACAGGAACTCTAGTTTCAGATTTTATTTTTTTTATGATAGCGATGGATGTCAGTGCAGTCTTGCTCGTTTTCCTTCCACAATGAATGCTTTTCTCCTCTAAAAATGCACCTTCATTTTGTTCTGGGTTATGACTTAAGGAGCATGGTTTATAGGGAAAAGAAAAAGCAGAAGTAATGTTCCAGTTGCAACATCAAAAAATCGCAAAATTTCAGTCTAGCAGGTGATAGAAACAAAAAGACTACCAGAGGTAGTTTTAGTACAAGGTAAAACCTTTATTACAACTTTTTTTTCATTGATAGGTATACAACATCTGAAAGACAGATCTGGGGAAAGGGTAAAAGGTAATATTGTTATAAAATGTCACATTTATTGCTACATTACTGTTATATACAGGACAGTTCTCAAAATTCTACTTTTAAAAAAGTTAAGGATTATTTAAAAATTCCAAATAATCCAGCCAGCTGTTTTTTTTCTTGACACTTGTATAAAATTATTATATATATATTTTTTTTAAAAATGAACACAATCCATATCTTGAGGCACTCAGAAACACAACTTTAACCCCCGTGCTCCCCATCCCAGTAATTCTGAATCAGTCCCAAAAAATTATTTTTAAACTATCTTGCCCCTTTCCCTCCCCCCAATACTTTTCTTTCTTTTTCCCTTTTTTATTGGTGTTAGGCATATATATATATATTTTATTTATTTATACTATATATATATATATCTTTAAAAACTATAATGTGTATCTGATTTAATAACAAGGATCTCAGCCAGTTAAGTACAGCTGGATTTTTACACATAGGCAGCAAACACCAAGACTCCAACCCATATACAGTTAGATAAAACTTAAGTCCACCGAAAGACTTAAGTTAGTCCATTCATTTCCATAAGACATTGCCATGATTAAACTGTGTCTGGCTTGAGGCAGCCCTCCCAAAGCAAAACAAATCATTTTTTTAATATAAAAAAACCCATAATAACAAAAGAACCCTTAAAACACTCTACAAGGACTGAAAGATACACAGCCTTCCCCACCCCTTCTAAAAAAATATATCTTAATGGGAATCAAGTTACATTTTGTTCTCTGCATTCTTGAACCCTTATTTTTGATAACAAAACATGTTACATTTTTCCCATGACAACTTGAATTTTTTTTCTGCTCGTCCCTTTTTGTCTCCTAAACAACCCCCCCCCCCAAAATAAATATCCCAAGAGACTTTGGGACACATCTATATTACAAACCTAAAACTGGTTTCAAACCCGTTTCTGGCTACGGCAGTTCCTAAATACAGGAGATCTGCAAAACGTAGTTTTAAGAGGGTCCCACTGAGAATGCAGACATTCATGAACCAAGAGCTCTTAACATTGTTATCAGCCTGCAGGATTCCTCAGGGTTTCTCAACCTTGGCAACTTATAAGATGGGTGGACTTCCAACTCCCAGAATTCCTCAGCCAGCTGTCCACCTGTCTTAAAAGTTCTACAGTGGAGCAACACTTTCTCCAGATAGTGATCTGAAACTAGCTTAGCGCTTGTAGTGTAGACATACCTTGGAAAGATGCTCCCCTTTCAACAGAAATACCTTTAAGCAATCAAAACAAAACGAAAACATAATTAAAGGAGAAGCTCGTTTCATGCTGGTGGACTAGAAAGAGATTTGGGGAGATCTGGCACTAGAAGGACCTGGCCAGCCTTTCTGCTTTGCAGAACCCATATCACCATGGTGGTGATAAGAAAATGTGGTTTGGATTGCAAGTGCCATTCTGCTCCCTCAGTCCGTGCAAAGCCATTTGAACCCAGCGACAACCCAATCCTGGTTTCCAACTTTGCCCATGGAACAGAGAGAAGGAAGAGAGGGAAGGTCAGGGCTCTCCGGAGGACCTTTGCAACATTTCTTCTCCTATGTTCTTCAGAACTTTCCTCCTATTTCCACTTTTGTGCAGAAGTCACTCCTGTGATCAGAAAACAAGAATTCTGCAATTCAGTCAAAGCAGAGGACAAAATGGAAGAGATCATGCCAATTTGACTTGGCTGGCATTTCCTTTGTCATCAAAAGGTACAGTGTCTGGTCTTTTCTCCCTTTTTACAGAGAGGTCAAGGCAGACATTTTGCAGAAAAGTCAATCCCCATGGAGCCCTTTATAATAACCTCTCTCAGTGGCATTAGATCACTGTTTGTCAACCTCAGCAACTCGAACATAGGTGGACTTCAACTCCCAGAATCCCCCAGCCGGCAACGCTGGCTGGGGAATTCTGGGAGCTGAAGTCTACTTATCTTTGAGTTGTTGAGGTTGAGAAATACTGCATACAGGATACCTTTCTTCCTCCCCAGGGGTGAAGCAATCTTACAGGGGATTTCCCTGGCATCGGGGAGACATCAATATTCTCCTTCTCTGTCCATGAAGAACGGGGAAGATCTCACATGAGAGCACACGGGGATCAGGGGAAAAGTTGGAGCCACCCCACCAGCATTTTCTGCAGAAATGCAACGGGCGATGGCAGCAGCATGTTCTGAGACGTGAAGCATTGCCAAGCTGGGTAGGAGAGTTCATTGATGCGTCTTCTTTGGTGTGTGTATTTTTTTTCACAACAGCAACTTGGATTCTGCATACCACTCTCTCTCTCTGGCGATATACATACATATATATCTATATATATCTATATATAGATAAATAGATATATATTTATATCTCCATTTATTTATTTTTCACTGGGTAAGGCTTTCTTGTTCCTTTTCTCCCATGAGATCTTTGTTCTGACTGTAACCTGTTAGGATCTTTTGCTTCCTTTTGTTCCATGTCAATTTGCACCAGTGCTTAAAAAAAGGCAAATGGTTTTCCATCTCCTATGTGCCTTTGAAGACTACTTCTGCAAACTCCCAGAATGTAGAAGTGCAGGCAGAGCTGGAGGGGGCAGAGTTAAATACATCATCAGCTTAAAGTCGTTACGTTCCCACAAATGGTCCAAGTCCAGCCCCCCTTGAATTCCGTTGACCCCTTATCTGGCGCCGGTTCAGATTTGAACTTTGGTCAACGAGATTCTTGTGTATAGGCTCGAGCAAGAAATCCTTCTGAATTGCGACTTAACATATGGTCCTGATCCTTTGCGCTTGACACAGAGGCTGCCACCCAACTCAAAGCCATGTTTTCCAACCAATGTTCAGAAATGCTGTGAGTCATTCTTTCTCTATTTTTGTTAGGAGGGATTGGAAATGCTTTGAGTGGCAGGGAAGATGGGAGAGGGCCAGACCAAACAGAAAACTTCCCAGAATTCCAACTGGTTGCATCCTTTGGGTGAAAGACATAAGCCACGATGACACAAAGACTAGCAGCTGATGGATTCATTCCCCCTCCAACCCTCCAACATTCCAAGCGACAAAAAGGAACTGAGGTGATAATCAGTATTTTCTCCCCTCTCTCGTTCTCTCTTTTAATTATGAAAGCTACAAGCCTTAGAGAAGATTTTAACCCGCTCGCTAAACGCACGCAACTGTCTCAGAGCCAAAACACAAATCCTCCCTTGTACCAATCTCTTCTTTTGTTTTTCTTTTTCTTTTTTAAAAAACATCCAGTCTCTTAATACAAACTTTTAATATTTCTGGTTGATCTTATTTAAAAAATAATATGCAACAATAACTATAGAAACAGCAGCAGAAAAAGGCATGGGGAATCATCAAGTCTTTCTTTCTCTCTTTCTCTCTCTCTCTCTCTCTCTCTCTCTTTTTACATTTTTTTTGTTGCTTACAAAACAGAGATGCAAAAGAAGCTTTAAAAAACAAAAAAGGCATTACTATGTTTGTTCTACATTTAAAAAATTATTGTAACTAATGTTCTTTTTAAAAAAAGAAAAGAAAAAAAAAGAAACAAACGTATAGGCACAATTTCTTCTGCTGGCCTTTTGTGAACGCAAGCCACTTAAATGTCTCCCCCCACCTCCCACTGAAGGATATGCATTAAGAGTTCCAGAATATACAGTTTAAGGCAATCTTTGCTGTTGGGTTTTTTGTGTTTTGTGGTTTTTTTTTTGGATAACATTGTTGCTTTTCCTTTCTGGTGGAGGGAAATAAAAGTTCCTTCGAGCACACTGAATTTCCATTGCCATGTCAGTATTTCAACAAGACTGCAGTTTCTGGCGTAGACACCCAGCAGGGGTGTGAAAATGACCCAGTCCTTGCTTCTTCCTACAGATATCTTCTTCCAGGTCAAGGGAAAAAAACAAATCACCTGTAAAAAAAACAAAAAACAAAGGAAAAGGTATAGGTCAGTGATGGCGAACCTTTTAGAGACTGAGTGCCCAAACTGCAACCCAAAACCCACTTATGCATCGTCAGATGCAGGGTGGATGTGGTCAATTGGGTGGGCATGGCTGCAGTGGTAACAGCAGACTGGGTGGGACTAAAAAGTTCAATCAATCAATTCCATCTTTGCAAGATTTTTTTTTTCCGCGAGAAGTTGAAATTGATTGAACTTTTTTTTTTTTTGCACACGGTAGGGGAGACTTAAAGCAAAAAGGTTTTAGAAAACCCAGCTGAAGGCCTAGGACTGGGGCGACGGCGCGTGTGCCCACAGAGAGGGCTCTGCGTGCAGTACCATAGGTTCGCCACCATGGGTATAGAAAGCTGGATGTTCTACTACACCAGGGGTCTTCAAACATGGCCCTTTTATGACTTGTGGACTTCAATTCCCAGAATTCCTCAGCCAGGCATGCCTGTTTGAAGACCCTTGTTCTACACAGATCACTTTATGAGAAACAGCAGAAACAGCTACAGGAAATCCTCGACTTACGATCACAACTGAATCCAAATTTTTTGTTGCTAAGTGAAACACGTGTTAAGTGAATTTTGTCCCGTTTTCCGACTTTTCTTGCCACAGTTGTTAAGTGAATCACTGCAGCTGTTAAGTTAGTAACACGGTTGTTAACTGAATCCGGCTTCCCCATTGACTTTGCTGGTTAGAAAGTCACAAAAGGGGATCACATGATTCCTGGGATACTGCAACCGCCATAAATGAGTCAGTTGCCAAGCATCCAAATTTTGATCACGTGACTGTGGGGATACTGCAACGGTTGTAAGTGTGAAAAAGGGTCCTAAGCAGTGGTGAGATTCAAATAATTTAACAACTGGTTCTCTGCAGGGGGGGGAAGGCGGGGGGGCACTGCCATGAGGCAGGTGGAGGGGGCAGTTGCCCCATGCTCCCCGCTTACCGTGCCGAAGGGCCCCCGCAGCCAGGCCTACCACACCTTGACCCCTGTTGTGCCTCACCTGTTGGGAATAACTTCTCCCACTTTCTCCTTCCTCCTCCTCCTTTGAACAACCCTTCACTCCCATTGCTGCCTTTTCAGTCCCAGATCTCGGTTTGTCCGGAGCCTGTGCAGAGGGTCTTTGGAAACAAAGCCCCGCAGGGATTGGGTGGGGTGGGAACTATTTCCTTTGCTTTTCGACTGACTCTGAAATAGGCTGGAAGGAGCAGCCCGAGGACTCCAATCTGGCTTTGCAGCAAGCAAGGGGCTTGGAGGCACGTGAATGCACGCCATCCTGGCATCTCAAAAAAACGGGGTTTTTTCCCCCGCTGCTGGATTTTCGCTGCCGTACTGTTTAAGTTTCTTTAAAGATTACTTGATGCAGAATGCGGATTCTTCCCGTTCTGCATCAAGTAAACTTTAAAGAAACTTAAAACAGTATGGCAGTGAAAATCCGGCAGTGGGAGGAAAAAAACCCCGGTCTCATGCACGGGGAATCTGCACCCCCCCACCTCCCCATGCCTCTACCTGTGCGCTCAGCCTGCTAAACCTCATTTCTAGCCAGGTGATCGATTTAGCGAAGGCACAGGTGGGGGAGGCGGGCGATGCAGATTCCCTGTGCATGAGAAGTTGGCAAAGGAGGAAGGCGAGTGGCAGCCCCAGGGGCAAGAAGTGCCACCGAAAACAGCAGGGTCTGTTTTTGTGCCTGCCTTGCCCGAGTCAGCCATACTCTCCATGGCACGCTGCAGCTGATCCGAGGCATAGAGAGCACAGCTGATGGGTGAGCGTGTAGCAGGCACGCGTAAGGAGGAAGGCGAGCGGGAGCCCTATTGGTAAGAAGGGCCGCTGAAAACAGCAAAATCTGTGTGTGTGCCTGCTACATGCTCACCCGTCAGCCGTGCTCTCCACACCTCGGATCAGCTGCAGCGCGCTATGGAGAGCATGGCTGACTCGGGCAAGGCAGGGGCACACACACAGACTCCACTGTTTTCGGCGGCCCTTCTTGCTGCTGGGGCTGCCGCTCGCCTTCTGCCTTTACCAACTTCTCGTGCACAGGGAATCTGCACCACCCGCCTCCCCCCCCCCGTGCCTTCGCTAAATCAATCATCCAGCTACAAATGAGTGTGCAGGCCAAGGCATGGGGGGAGGTGCAGATTCTTGCTAAGCACCAGGCCAGCTTTGGCGGCATCAATCTGCCTACTGCTGTGGCACGTGTGGCTCGGCTTCTTGCTGACTGGAAGAGGCCTTGAGGCACCCGGCTCCAAGCCCTCTGGGTCAAGGAATGCCCGGGCAAGCTGCTGCCGGCCTCCTCCTGGGTTACCATAGATCCTGGATTCAGGCTGCCACACAGCTGTGGCGTGTGCGTGGAGGCACCTCCTGTTGGGCGCTGATCACGCCAGTGCTACAGGACGCTTTGCTACAGGATGCCTGGAGGCTCACTGCGCCAATCGTGCTGCTGCTGCTTGCTGCAGGAGGCTGCGAGGCTTGGCACGTGAGTGGTGCGACGATCCTCGTGGTCTCCTGGAAGTGGCCCGACGATCCTCATGACGTGACGGGTGAGCACGTAGCAGGCGCACGCACAGACTCGTCAGTGCTTCTGTCCCTGGCCAGCCGCCTCAGATCAGCTGCAGTGCGCCGTGGAGAGCATGGCGGACATGGGGCAAGCGCGAGGCAGGTCCGCACACAGACTCTGCTTTTTTCAAGTGCCATCATTTTAACAACCGGTTCGCCAAACTAAAGATACATTAGGTATCGGTTCTGTCGAACTGGTGCGAACGGGCTGAATCCCACCACTGGGCCTAAGTCCGCTGTAACTTTGAACAGTCATTAAATGAACTGTAGTAAGTCGAGGACTACCTTTAATTTATTTATATTTATTTGACTTATTTATGTCCTGCCTTTTTGTTTTCCTGCACTCTGGAACGTCTTGCCTCCTGGGGTAGGGTCTACTTCCACCCTCCTGGCCTTCTGCAAGAGGTCGAAGACCTGGCTCTGCCAGTTCGCTTGGGGGGGGGGGGAGTATCACACTGGAGGTAGTTGAGGGGCCAATGGGAGATCACACTCCCCTGTGCATCCTGCCCCTTCCCTCCCCATCTTTAATTATAATGTTTATTTGTATTGTCATTAGTAATATTTTTTTCTCATGGTTTGTAATGGTTTTTAATGTGGTAGGCCACCCAAAGTCACCTGTAGCAAGACAGGTGGCAAGTAAATAAAGAAATAAACATTCACACATGAAGGAGCTGCATATCCCATTTTGTCCCTTGAAGAAAAGTCCCAGCAGAAAGTACCTTTACATATGTCCCACGGGGTTGTGCCCATCTCCTAATCCTGCATGAGATGCCGAAAGTGCCATCTGGGGATCACCCACCACGCCAGACACTTTCTCCTCTTCGCGACGTTTCAAGCAAGCTGCTTTAGGGTTGAGATTGCGTTCTGGGAGAAAGAGAAAAAAAAACAACACGCGCCATGGGAAGGAGGAGAAAACCTAGATGGGAGTAAATATCTTGCAATGAGCAGTCTTTCTGCTGTCTTCCCCAAGAAGCATAAGAGTGGAAAAACAGAGGATGAATATACATGCTGCACAAGTGAGAGAAAGTATCCTAGCGAGGGAAACAGCAAGGTCTGGGGGAACTGCGGTAAGGCTACCACTATCGGGTTTGTCTGCTATCAGCGCAGATGGTCACTAGATGGGAGCAAAGAGAAACCAGACAATTCTCACGCTTTGCTGCCACTTAGTGGTCAGCCAGTCTCTAAACAGGCATCAGGGCTCTGGATAGCGAGTTCGGATGGATATACTTAGACTCTGCATACTCCCATCTCTGAAAAGTCACGGGTTGTTTAGCCTTCATTCTAGACACAGAATGACCCTCGGTCTTTTGGGGATCATTTCCGCAGTGGTCCATGTGCAGCTGACAGAGCAATAAAGCAAAGCAAAACTTAAGAAGTCTTTGCAACCAAAACGTAGCACCCTGAGCAAAGGATGGAAGGGACAGGCATAGAAGACACTCATGCGAAGAAGGGCATGTAGGGGACATCCCGGAAAGAGACAGCCTCCCACCCATGCAAGAGAATGACCTCAGGGTGGGGGGGCACCCCTAGCGCCGTACCTCGTACTTGCTGTTCCAAGCCTAGAATGACTTGTACTGCTTGCTGAAGGATGATGAGTTTGGTCTGTGCTTTGTCTGTTTTTAAGTGCATCTGGCACATGCGTCCCAGCTCTTTAAAGGCCTCGTTAATGTCCCGTACGCGCACCCTCTCCCTTGCATTATTGGCCATCCGCCTCTCCCGGTCCCTCAGATCTTTGTCCTCCAGGGATAGCGCCTCATCCGTACTGCTGGGTTCACACAGCACCACAGGGGTTAGTCAGGGAGCAAAAAGTGACTCGGGAATCGGGGTGGGGAAGAGAGAGGGGGACGGTGCCAAGGTGTGGTGGAAAAATGTCCACAAGCCACTACAAGCCAAGATGGGCCAGGCCAATTGATCATAGCAGAACCCTTGAATTGCACCCTAGAGATAAGAAGCTGCCAAGGACTCTGGGGCAGGATTAAGATCCTCTGCCCTTTATTTCCTAGACGGTCTATTTAAAGAAACAGAAAACTGTTACGTGAAATTAATACTTCCTTCGTCAGATGAAACCAGTAGTGCTCAAAGCTCAAGTTAAGACTCTCCTTTGCAAGTCGAGAGAATCACGGTTTGCAAACAACAAAGCAATCGGTAATGCAAAAGTGGGAACTTTGTCCTTCCCTCTCCCCACCAAAGACTGGCTTAAAGATTTACGCCTTAAATAGTAGGAATCTGTATTGTCCTTGCATTTGTTTTTATTTCCTCTTAGGGAATTAAAAATCAGACTTGCAATGCCTTTCTCTCTGCTTTAGAAAGGAAGGGGGGGGGAGGGAAGCAAAATCCAAGTTAAGCATTAAAAATAATGGGCTTTAAAAAGGATGGGCAATCTATAGCCTGGAGCCCCATACCATTTTATGGCTTCCAGAGCACCCTCAGATTGTGCTTTGTAGCAGTACATCTACTTGCATAGTTAAGCACAAAGAGTATAGAATCTTGTAATTCTTCCCCTCACCAAACACGAAAAAAGTGGTCTGTGATGCCACTTCAACACCAGACATGAGTCCTCAAAAACAAAAAAGAAAAATAAATACCAAGAAACGGTGCACAAAAATTGCCCAGCCCATCCAAAATGTCCTCAGGAAATCGATCTCTCACATATGTAGTCCTTGATTTGTGATGGATCAAAGTTACAACCAATCTGAAAAAGGGGACTTATGACCTGAATACGTGAAGATCAGGCCCCCCTCCACGGTCACATAACCGAACTTGGGGTGCTCGGCAACATGGCCACGCTGATGGCCATTTGCAGTGTCCTGTGATCACATGACTACGTTTTATGATGGTTTTTGCCAAACAACAGCACTTACACTCAGTTTTTAGCAAAACCATTCCCACAGTGAATTATTGGTTTGCTTAACAACGGTGGTGCGTCCCTTAATGGCCATCACAAAAAGTTGTAAAATAGGACTGGTCACGTGACCGATGCATTTTTATAACTGTTACAACATATGTGTCAGGTGCAAGAAGTCAGGAGCCAGGACAGAGTTCAAAAGCACTACAAATTTATTCCACGCAACCTATAAATGATAATCTGTCAAGCGCCAGGGAATTCAGAAGAATCAGGTAGTTCAAATGTGTATAAAGCTTTACTGCATGCTTAAGCTCTCTGCAAAAATCTGACCTACTAATGGTCAAGGGAAATGAGCGGGAGATAAGAAAGCCATTCAAGGTGGGCTGGACTTAGATGCTTGTGGGGGGTGCAGTGATTCATGACTGGTGACGTGTTTAACCCCTCCCTCGGACTCAGTCAGGTCATCTACATAATCTGATCTAATGGTCAAGAAAAATTGGCACCAGGTAAGTCAATGGACTTCAAGGAGGGCTGGACTTTGGTGACTCCAGACTGAGGATGCGTTTGACCCCGACCTGGGGCTCAGCCTGGTCATCTCCTACATCATGACCATAATGGGCAGGGTCCATTACAATCCTACGTTGAGGATTATCTGTATTTCAGTTCTTACTCCTCTGCCACAAGTCCCAATGCAGGCAACAAAGATCAATTTGCTTCTGACAGAATGCCAATAGGGGCCACCCAATGAAACACAAAACCCAACATATAAAGAGCCTATCAGCAGAAAGGGATGAACAGATTTTACAGCAGGAGCCTCCAATCCCCGGGCTATAGCTTGTTTGAAACCAGACTGCGGGAGAGATGAGCAAGCACATGTGCGTGTGAAACTCCCCTCACACAAGTGGAACTTTGCGCAAGAGCACAAGCGCCCTCTATTCAAGCACCCGTCACTTGTGCTCCATTCGAGCAAGTGGAGGGCACGCGAGCCCACTGCTCGCAGAAACTGAGCTGTGCATGCGCAGGTGCGCCTGCCATTCACGATCCACCCCCCACTCCCCTGTTCTGGGCCGGGCCGCCAAGCTGGAAAGGATGGTTTTAGAGAATCTGATTTGTAGGGCTTTCAGAATGCATGCTAATGCATTCCACCTCATCTCTCTTACTTGATTTCTCCTTGCTGGTGGACATAACTAAAAAACAATATCCTCAAGAACAAGTCATTTCCTGGATTGTCAAATCCATACAATGTAGTAGTCATTTTCAACCAAGAACAAATTCTGCTTTGTATTTTGGTTCACTGACTCTTTTCTTGCTGTTCAACTTTTATTGAGCTGCTCTAACTGCTGGGAGGGACCAGAGAGAAACATCTGGTCCATGTTCTTTAAAATGGCTGTCATTAGTTCAGGATTCTCCAGCACTATTGCCTAGTGTGTGTTTGGACATGGCCTCGCTTACAAAATCTGAAGCCCATCATTATGAACTTAAACTTCATTTGTTGAGTGCCTTAAGTGATTCCTAGTTTCTTCAGTTAATGGGGAAAACATTGCGCTCACAGGGATCTGAAAGCAGGATGAGAAAAGAAGTGTCAGGTAGGAAAGACCAGGATCACAGGTGAAATTTTAATTTAAAGTCATTTATTGCTCATGCCTGTGCATGGGAATCTAACTAACGATTAGCACTATTCTGGTGCTAGCTAAGGCTTAACAAAATTCAAGAGGGGTTAGACTTAATCCATTTGTGGCTACTTCGAGACTCTAGGCCGAGTCCTCTTTTGACTCCATCCCCAGGTTCTGCCACTCCTTCTCTTACAGGAAGAGGGCCATTTGAAAATAGAAAATAAAAGTCACAACTTGCCACTGGCTTTGCAAAGTGGCTTCCTAACACTTGCCATGAATAGAGTCTATGCAGCAGAAATAAGCAAAGCAGTCATTAAATAAGTTGCATCCAATTTTACGACCGTTCACTCCTTAAATGAATTATGCAGTTGTTAAGCAAACCCGATCTCCCTTACTGACTTTGCTTGTCAGAAGCACCCTGGAAAGGTCGCAAATGGATGCTACAGCTGTTGTAAATACATACTGGTTGCCAAGTGCTTAAATTTTGATCATGTGTCCGTAGGGACACAGGGATGGTCGTAAGTGTGAGAACTGGTCACAAGTCACTTTTTTCAGCAGCGTCGTAACTTTGAACAGTTGTTAAAAGAATGACTGTAATTCGAGGACTACCTGTACCAGCTCTGGAAAGATCTACATCTAAAAAAGAATAGCTTGCTTATCTGAAATATTGGCCATCTTCCCCCAAGCCACCCACTCCGGCAAAATACTGTACCTTCCAGGTATAATCAAACTCAGCATAATCAAGACTGATCCCATCTAAAATAGTTATGAGCATTGGCAGCACCTTAAACTTCGGCGGATTGAACCTTGGAAATCCTTTTCCCTCCCATGTTGCCCCATCATGTCCTATCTTTATACAGGGACAGCCTTTTTCCCCAGAGCAAAAAAGAGAAAAAGAAAAAAAAATCCTTTAAGAGGTAGATATAATTGCCTTCTTTTGACAAGGCATAGTTGGATGTCCCCAATAGTGAAAATTGAGGACACGAGGCAACTATTTTGCACTGGAAAAGATTTCCTATTGAAATAGTATGTGAAGGCACAATTCTAGGACCTGTATAGTAAGCTTGGAATTAAGCAACCCTGTTCTTATCCAACTAGCAAAGCAAAGTAGGATGTTTTTATGTGTGCTTTTCATTTCCAGCCTACTAACTATAAATGGTAAACCAGAGTAATACCAATCCCGGTAACTGTTAATCTCTTGATTTTTAATATCCAGAACCATCCAAAACCAACTTCCCAATTACTTTCTCTTTTCAGTGATTCACTTACTGCTTGGGAAACTTCACTCTGAAAATGACCCTTTTGGGTAAGCTTCACAGTCAAATGTCAATCTGGATTCTCCTATGATCTTGTCTGGGAATTCAGCCTAAATCCAGAATGAATTTTAGATCCAATGGATTTAAAAATTGTAGCTAAAAATGTAGGGCTCATTTAAGTGCCATCTCCTTTTGGTATGCCTTCAAAATTCAGACAAGGTAATGGATCCACCCAGTTTACTCATCTGAGTTACAGAATTAAAGCCATTATCCCAGAATTAACACCTAATACACCGAACTACAAGTTATCCAAGCAAAATCTATCCACAACAAACTAAGCAACACTTGAAGTAACCAAGTTTGAAATTAACCAAGTTGACTGTTATTTTTCCAATAATAACCATGGTCTGGTTAATTTTTTTTGCTACACCTGCATGGGAGTTATCAATACGGCTTAAAAGCAAGTCTCACTGAATGCAGCAGGACATATTTCCAAGCCAAGTTCCCATTTTAAATTCATAATTATTTAAAGGATTGTCAAAGTCAATTTAAAACTAAACCTACACACCCACATCCAATAGGAACTGTAATAGCTAGCTATGATTTGAGGAAATATAAATTGAGGACTGCAGCAAACAAAATTAAAACTGTATCCGAACTCTTGGGGCTACATTTAACCCTTCGGATCTGTGGCTCTTGTCAAGAGGAATTCAGTCCTTTCATGTGCTATAATAACCTGTGCAAACTTACTCTTATCCCAAAGCAAATTTAAACTTTAGAAGAGTATTGAGAATAGCTATCAGCTATCAGTGCTGCCTGGTTAACACCGGCTAGATATTCCACAGTGTTTTGGCCTATATAAAATAAAGTAGCACCCTCTCAAAAGGATAGCAACTTAATAAATTCTTAAATAAATTTGTAATTGGTGAGATTGAAAGGGAGAAGAGAAAGTCCTGCAGAAAACCCATCCAAGGTACTATAAGAAGTAGACGCCTGTATGTAATGAGAGTCCCGTTCTAACTTTAATCTTCACTGCGTTTTTGCTGGAAAAACTGTTCTGGGCTGCCTTTTCTAGGATGACAGATGTCAACTCTCAGAAATATGAGGCTCATCTGATGGATCCTCTCCCTTGTTAAGATCTTTTATAAAAATGTCCAAGGGATCAAAAATTTCCCTAGAAGGGAATATTTGTATCTCAGGGTTGATCTGTGAGGTCTTTGGTGTTTTCTGAGCTCGGTTGTGTTTTTGCTGACATTTCATTACCCAACTAGGTAACATCATCAGCGCTAGGAAAGTGCTAGCACTGATGTTACCTAATTGGTTAATGGAATATCTGCAAGAAAACAGCCAAGTCAGAATGAACCAAGGGCTCCACAAAAAAATCCAATAGAAAAATGTCCCCCCCCCCCAGGGACATTAAATGTAGGAATGCCAACTGCTGGCCAGTCAAGGCAAAACTTTACTAATCTTCTATTTCAGGTAAAATGCTCTGTATTTTTTGGAAATCAAAAACCCAAAGCCTGAAGAACTGCAAATGAGAGGACCCTGCGCCAACTCTTCCTCTCACAGATCGTTCCTTTCCCGCTCCCTGCGCCAACCCACTTCCCCATTCCTGTTTTTTCTCTCTCTCTCTCTGAGCAAGCAGCAAGTACAAGGTAGAGGGTGGGAACCACCGAGAGGTCACGGCTGGGGACTGTCTGTAGGAAAGCAGGTAAAGGATGGGGGAGAAGGGGAGAAGAACAAGAAAACGTTGGACAAGGAAATCAAAGTTATACATGTTATGACAGGCAAAAAAGAGAAAAGAAAAGTGAAGGAGAGAAAAGCATAAATGAATTCCAGCATTGCAACATGACAGCGGAGTACAAAACAGGCTGTGGATCCTGATGGTAAATACAGCCGCTTCCTCTCTTGAGGAAAAGAAAAGAGTCAAATCTGCCAAGATAAACCCCACGGGATGGGTTTCCAAGAAAGGAAGGTTAGATGTTCACATGCACAGCCAAGCGTTTACAGCATTCCCAGCAGAAAATAAAATTAGCACAACTACACTTGGTGGGAGTCCATCTTTCCTCTAGGGCAATGGTTCTCACCTGTGGGTCGGGACCCCATTTGGGGTTGAACAACCATTTCACGGGGGTCGCCAAACAAGGCTGTCCGCCATTTTTTCCCCCTTTGGCCACGCCCCTGGCACCCAGTGATGTATAAGTGGTTGGGGGTCACCACAACATGGGGAACTGTATTATGGGGTCACGGCATTAGAAAGGTTGAGAACCACTGCTCTAGGGTAGCTGCAGAGACCCATTTTCAAATTTCTCTCCTTCCTTCCTCCGCGACATCCTGCATCCTAGAATCCTAACAGTGATCCCTGAATTCTACTTCTGCAGGGACGATTGATGACTTCTGAGGTTTAAGTTGGGATCTGTGACCACGGTGGGATTGGAAGACTTGGGTTATAGACAGAAAATGACCTTCAAAGTCAGGACCTGACACATTTCGATGTAAGTAAAAATCCCAGGTCCTCTGAGCATCTTTCAATGCTACAAGGTGCTGATCCCAGATCTTAACACTACCACAAGCTCGGACACAGATGTGTCTCCCAGGTGTATGTTCCCTATTCTCCCTGTATACCTCCTTTTCAAGGTATCACTCATGGTCCAAATTCAGTCATTCCTGGTGATGGGCAGAGAGAGGCACCCTGAAGAGCTACACCACAGACTACACAACATGTATCTTGAGATTATTCTAGGCAGAGGGATTTACAGTCATGTATTTTCCACAGGGAATTTTTATCACAGGATAACGAAATTCTCCCACCAAAACAAGATCTCGAGTGGGGAAGCAGAGATAGTAACTTTGAAGACATGGTACCATTTCTTTTCAGTGCTGAGGATTTCCCAAACCCTACGTCTACGCTTTACTGCAGGCACTCCTCGACCTACGACCACAGTTGAGCCCAACATCTATGTTGCTAAGTGAGACATTTGCTAAGTGAGCTTTGCCCCATTTTATGACTTTTCTCGGCACAGTAGTTAAGGGAACCGGGCTTCCCCAATGACTTTGCTTGTCAGAAGGTCACAAAAGGTGATCCCAGGACCCGAGGACAGGATAACCGTCATAAATACAGGCCCATTGCCAAAGGTCTGAATTCTGATCACGTGACCCTGGGGGATGCTACAAGTGTTGTCAATGTAAAAAATGGTCATAAGGCACTTTGTTCAGTGCCGTCGTAATGGTTGCTAAACAAATGTTTGTTAAGCCGAGCACTATCTGTACTTAAGAGGTGTGTACGAAAATGTTCTAGGAGGCCAGGGCTGGAAAGAAGGATATGGTATTATATGGTTTTGCTGTGAACGCATCCTCGGTTTGCACGAGAAACTTGATCTTTGCAGACGCTGCCCTTTCCCCATATTTAGCAACAAAGCGCTGAGGTCCAGGGTGGGCCGCCCTCTCCAGCGCTAAGTAGCAGAGAAGGGAAGAACGGAGAGAAAAGCAAAGAGTTCCCGCACAGGCACGAGGCTGGCTGGCATGCAGAAAGTGCAGCTCCTTTCTTATTCCAAATGCAACACAGGAATTACAGGGGATGCAAAAAACAAAACAAAAAACCAAACCAAAATGGAACAGAGAAGTAAAACACAAAACCAAACTTAAGGCATCGTCATTAAAAAAAAAAAAAAAAAAAGGGATGCAGGAAAACGTCAGCAGGATGGAGAGCGTCGGGCAGGCCTGCCCACCACGGTGGGCCGGGGGCAAGGTTGAAAGGATCAGACAGACAGCCCCATGCCGTTCCGAAACGTCACCACATCGGAAGCCTCCACTGACCTCTAACTTGTTGTTCCAGATTCAGAATAACCGACACAGCCTGATGTAGGATTAGCAGTTTGGTCTGTGGTTTTTCGCTGTTAAGGTGTAGCTGGCACATGCGCCCAAGCTCTTTAAAGGCCTCGTTGATGTCGCGGACACGCAGGCGCTCCCGAGCGTTATTGGCCACCCGCCTCTCTTTCTCTCGCTCAGCTTTTTGCTCTGGGGGAAGAAGGTCGTCCTCCTCATCCTCATCTTGACTGATAATTTGAAATAAGAATGAAACAAGGAGAAGGGGGGACATTTTTCGTGTGTGCACACCTCGGCACCGGAATATGTTCACAAAAAAAAAAGGAAAACTGTAATACATATAATACACGCATGTGCGCACCCCTACATGCACACACGACAAAAAACAAGCATCACAATGGTGTTTTTTTTTTCTTTTAAGATAATTGAAAAGGAAAGGTAGAAATTAATCTATTTTGCCATCTTTGGTCAATATTTACTACATGCATGCCTGACAGGGCCCCCCCAATGTTGTGAATGAAGCTGTATTCCCTAAATAAAATTTGGGTTGACATTTTACATTTGTGTGGGATAAAAGAGAGGCTCAAGGAAGTAAGCCATGCCTTTCTCCTCTCCTCAGGACCTTTGCAGGGAAATGGCGGGGGGAGGGGGGGGGACAAAGGATCAGGGGAGATAAATAGAACCAAAAACTATTAAGTCACGTTGTCTCAGTAGGGTGGTTCTGCTTCTCCACAATTTCTCAGGGAAAAGGAGCAAAATTTGAAAAGATGCACACATCGAATAAAACTAAAATCAATTTGAAAAAACAAACAAACAAACAAACAAACCACCACCAATATCTTTTATCTTCTTTTGATTAGCCAGCCAAAGGAATTGCCTGAGCTGGAAAATCTCTCCTTCTCTATGAGGGAGATGGAGGGCTTCTAAATTTGATAAATAAAATGAATAAAAAATTAGATGGAGGTTCTTCCTGATCCATTTCTCCAACAAGACAACCTGCCCCAGTTTCGCAAGAGGTTGGCCCTTTAATATTGGTGGGAGGTTCCTAGAGGTTTGAAAACTGTGGGGGGATTCTCCCCAAGACTGAAAGGTATTTAGAGAAGGCTGTTTCGCCTTAGGCTTTCCTTATAGGGTCAGGATTTTGTCCTGCCCGGTTAGCCTCCAAAGGGAACAGAGAAAGGTTGAGACCTGTTCAGTGAGCACCTTGTTCTGTTTCGAGATGGCTTCAGTTCCTTTTTCTCCTCTTCTGAATTGTCAGCCACGGATGTGTTTTCGTCATCCTCCTTGTCCTCCCGCTTGATCTCGCTGGTGCCAGAGGAGACGCTGGCCCTTCCCAGGCCCCCAGTTAAGCCTGCAATGGAACCGAACCAAATATAAGGTTGACCCAAGGATAAAATGAGAAATGTAGGAAAATCACCCTTTCTTCTAACCTACAACCTGATATAAGTTGAAATCTTCAACATCGTTGTAGTTAAGGCATCAGACTGGAAAACAGAAAGCTGTGAGGTTTAGTCCTGCCTTAGGCATGAAAGCCGGCTAGGTGACTTTGGGCCAACTGTGAGTTCTAGTCCCGCCTTAGGCATGAAAGCCGGCTGGAGTAATTTTGGGCCAATCACCAGAAGACTGTAAGGTTTAGTCCCGCCTTAGGCACGAAAGCCGGCTGGGTGACTTTGGGCCAATCACCAGGAGACTGTGAGTTCTAGTCCCGCCTTAGGCACAAAAGCCGGCTGGAGTAATTTTGGGCTAATCACCAGAAGACTGTAAGGTTTAGTCCCGTCTTAGGCACGAAAGCTGGCTGGCTGACTTTGGGCCAATCCCAGGAGACTGCGAGTTCTAGTCCTGCCTTAAGAATGGAAGCCCGCTGGGACTTTGGACTCTCTCTCAGCCCAAGTGATCTCACATGGTTGTTATTGTGAGGAAAATAGGAGGAAGAAATATTACGTATGTTCACTGCCTTGACTTATTTATAAAAATAATAAAGGCAGGATTAAAAAAAACTAAAAATAAAACATCTAAAATAATAATTAATGAAATAATTTTTGATTCTGAGTTGCAGATTCATATGAAGAGAGAGATCCCAAAGAATGGTTTGTTTTTTTTTTCCAAAAGGGCAACTGGACTTCCTTTGTTTTTTCTTGAAGACATTTTGCTTCTAGTTCAAGAGACTTCTTCAGTTCTGACAGTCAGAATGACCTGGATGACTGAGAATCCCCATAGACATGAAGGAGGAGGATACATTTCACAGAGAAGAATCACCTGCTTTGGTTCCTTTCCTTCAGTTATAAAGGGAATGTGTCAACTGTAATTTTGCAAGAGGTCATTAGCTCACTTGTCCAGCACCCTACCTTGCACCAGCCGAGAGACTGGGGTTTTGAGATTCAGCATTCGAATTGTGCAACTCAGCCTTACCGCTAAAGGCATCTGAAGACTGTCCTCTACTGAGGTCAGGAAGCGAGCTGGTCTGGGCAGGGAGAGCAACATGGTTGTGGAGAAGACCAGGATTGCTAGAGAGGCTGTCTTCAGGGTGACCTCCCCCCACCTGCCAAAAAGAACAGCAACAAGGTCCAGAAAGGCCACTATGCCGGTGATGCTGACTGGGGAATTCTGGGAGTTGAAGTCCACATATTTTAAAGTCCCCAACGTTGAGAAACACTGCCTTAGGCAATGCTAGTGAGCAAGTGTAGAAATTTGAAAGGGCCGTATCAGCCCCTCTTTTAAAGCCTTGGTTTTCATTAGTTAACCACAGCGAATGCCTCAGGGGCAAATGGTGATCAAGTTTAATAATAGGCCAGGATTGTTTTAAGTACTGGTTGTTGATCAAACAATACAATTCAGATTTGAACATAAGGCTAAGCCATTATTCCAGTATGCCTATAGGAAGGGAGTCTGAGGATTTTACTCTGCTAGTTATTGCAGATAACATTTGTGGCAATGGGTCATCTCGTTTCAAGTCCAAAGATATTTCCATGGTCACGTGGCCGGCATGATGTCATGAAGCACTGTTACCTTCCCACTGAAGCGGTACCTATTTATCTACTCACATTTGCATGCTTTCAAACTACTAGGCTGGCAGGAGCTGGGGCAAAGAAGGGAGCTCACCCCGTCGTGTGGTACTCGGGGCTCGCGCACAGGCTGCTGGCTTTCCAGCTGACAAGCCCAGCATCTTAACTGCTGACCCACTGTGCCGCCCAATAAGCCTATATTAGGACTTAATCTGATGTGTGAACCAGGTTTATAGGTAGGAATTTTAGATGTGCAGCCTTTCCATAGAATCATAAAGAGGCATACTGACTACCAAAATGCTATCAAGTGTTTGCGGAGCATAGTTAGAAAAGGACAGGATGACTGCCACAGCGATGCTACTGAAGCTCCATCTGATTTTGAGTGAGTCATTGAAGCATGTAAGAACAGGCAGAGGTTGGTTCACAGAAAAATAAAAAGAAATCAAGTTGTACAATATTGTGGGGCTCTTGGTGCTGCCTGAGCTTGGTCGTCTTCTTGCAGATTTGGTTTTCGCTACCAAATTAGTAACAACATCAGTGCAAAGCTGATGATTTGACTGATGAGATTGAAAAAACAACAACAACATTTCACCCAGGCTCTATACTAAGACAGTTTCCTACAAACAAGCCCTGAATAACCACCCTGACATTTTGTAGGATGCAACCCAAATTTGGAAGAAGGAAAAATGCCACACAGCTATGAAACTCTAAAGCTGTAAGAGAAAAGTTGGATAGAATTATGTTAGGGGCCATTGGAAACTGCATTTTGAACTCAAGATACCCTGACTTCTGCCCCTCAGCCATGACCTTATATCATAGACTATTCTCCTTTCTGCCTCTTGACTGGTACAACAGAGTCACACCCCACAATGAAAGGGTCTACGTTTGGTAGGACTTTTGAATATGAAGAATGTTACATAGCCTGCAAGAAGCATTTTTAACATGGACGGTCCATAGTTCAGTGGAGGACACAAGAGACTAACCCCAATCTCCAGCATTTACAAGGAAAAGGTGGTAAGAAAACTTTTGGTTGCTAGTTATACTAAGCTATATCAGTCATGAAGAACTTCTACTCTCCTAATGCTTTGGACCAACCAAGTCCCACCAACTATATGTCTGAAGTCAATGGATTCTAGGAACTGTGGACCAAAATGTCTGGATCAGGTGGATTAATACCGTGTTTCCCCGAAAATAAGACCCAATCTTATTTTATTTTTATTTTTGCCTCCAAAAGAGGCACCAAGGTCTTATTTTCGGGGGGTGTCTTTTCCACTCACCTCTGGCAATGACAGCCCCACACAGCCGGCCCACTTCTTTTGTGGTGTCCCCTGGCCTGCATTTCACAGTCAGAGGCCTTTCCGGAAGGCCTCTGCAGCCTAGAACCAAGCTATGGAATCCATAGCTTGGTTCTGAGCTGTACAGGCCTTCCGGAAAGGCCTCTGACTGCAAAATGCAGGCTGGGGGATGCCACAGAAGAAGTGGGCTGGCAAGGAGACCGCAGGCTGCAACAGTAAGTGGTTGATTTTTAGGTGTGTACCTTGCCCCCAAATTAGGGCTTATTTTTGGATAGGGCTTATATTAGGCCTACCACGAAAAATCAAGCTAGGGCTTATTTTGGGGGTAGGCCTTACTTTCGGGGAAACACAGTAAGTCAAGTTATGCAAATAGACCTTTAAAGAGGTTCTTGAAAGGAGAAGCCATAAACCTTTGAACAGTACAGCATGTCTGAACCCACCCGCAATTCCTATCTTACCAAGTTCGTATGCCGACTAGCGATTGGCAAGACAGAGGCCGGGGAAAAAGACTGGCTAAGGCTGCCCACAGAAGTGCTGTGCGCAGAAGCGGATGCCAACAAGTCGTGGATGTCCCTGTGGTTGGTCTGGCCCACTGCATGGCTCCTCAGCACATGGATGGCTTCGTCCAAGTGGTCTTCCATTTTGTTTTGCTTGAAGGAGGGAAGAGAGGGAAAGAGTGTGAAACAGAGCCCCACCACAACCACTGTGTGGAGCTGGTGGGGTGCCTGCCAACAGCTGAGATTCAGGCACCAAATGAAGCAACAAGTTAAAAACAAAAAGCAAACACAGACAACATTTGAAGATTGGACACAAGGCTTTCTTTCTTTACAGCATCTATCAGGTGCATCCTTACTAGATGATTTTTCAGGGAGAAGAACCAAGGCTAAAAAGAAAGCTGTTTTGGGGATATTATCAAGCAACACAGAAGAGGCTGGTGGACGATCAAACCTATGCTATTACTAAGGTTGCTGGGTCCACTGCTATCTGCAAGGAATTTATAGGTAGTTCTTGACTTATGGCCACAAGTGGGAGTGGAAAATTCATTATTAAGCAACAACGTTATTAAATGGCTAAATGTTCATGACTTGTGATCTTTCCTGCCAGCTTCTCCATTGACGTGCCAGCTGGGAAGATTGCAAATGGCGATCACGTGACCCTGAGATGTTCTAACCATTGTAAAGATGAGCTGGTTGCCAAGCACTCAAAGTCCGATGATATGACCGCGGGTATGCTGCTTTTTCCAGTGCTGTCATAACTTTCAATGGTTGCTAAATGACTGGTTGTAAATCAAGGGCTACCTGTAATTATTTACTGCAAAAACCAATGGCAAATATGCGGTGGAGGGATACTTACCAAAGTATGGAGGGTGCCTTCGTAGCTTGGGGATAAGGCACCCTGTCCACTTGTTCGGGGCCACTGCGAAGAACCTGAGTGGTGGACAGACAGAGGACATTTTGCTATCAGCAAATACATTTGATAGATAGCATGGACACCCTTTCTCTTCACAACTGCCAGGAAATACTTTCGGAATGATAGAAGTAGCTCAGGGTTGAACTGTGGACTTTTTGTTGCTCTCGGAGCTGGGCTGTTTTTGCAGACATTTCATTACCCAACTAAGCAACATCATCAGTGCATTGCAAGCAAACAAACAACCAAACTCTGAGAGCATTAAGTACCCCAGACTTCCAGGACACATCAAAAGCCAGATAGAACTTCGGGAGTTCCATCAGGATTAACCACTCCTTACATCCAGTTTTATTAAAACTTGGGGACTTTAAAATGTGTGGACTTCAACTCTCAGAATTCCTCAACCAGCATGCTGACTGGCTAATTCTGGAAGTTGAAGTCCACGCATCTTAAAGTTGCTGAGCTTGAGAACCAGCATTGTAGACTTTTTCTTGCATTAGAAATATGCTCGCTCCTCTGTCACAGAAATGCCGTAAGGAAGCACGACCACATCTTAGAAATCCATTTCATGTTTTAATGATGGCTGTTTCTATCTATCTACTGACCTGCTTTTTTTGTATGGCAGTCTTCTTTTAATCTAGCTTTTAAAAATCCAGGACAAAATGAATTGGGCAGGAAGAAGGTAAACATGGAGCCTCGTACAGGTCCGTTTTTACAAGCCACAGTGTTTAGAGAAGATGATTGTTTTTGAAACCCGGACTTGCCATGAGTTTACATGCAGTTCTTCCATGTGACAGCAGATGGAGCCAACAACCCACAAATTTCAGATTTGTTGCTTTACACATATGCCCTGGAGCTATAACTGTGCAGCTAAGCTTTAATAAATCTCAGACTAAGGCTGTCTTAATCTCAGGTGAACAGGACATTTTGTGGTCAAAGGGCTGCCATTAGCTAGTAGTCTTAAAAGAAAATCCAGTTGTGTTTCATTCTTCTCTTGTAGTCATTACACATCCCCTAGGGAAGTAGGCAAACTGGCAGCATAGAAATGTTTCCACACCACACTTTTCAGTCCAGTACAAAACCAAGATAACAGAGCTCTGTGACGTCACGCTGGCCACCTAACCGTGGAAATGTCTTTGGACATCACTGGCTCAATGGCTTTTAAACAGAGATGAGCACCATACCCCCCCCCCCTAGAGTTGGCAACGACGAGTGGAGTAAAATCTGCAGGGACCCCTTTACCTTTACTTTACAAAACCAAGAATTTTAAATCATTTTCAGCAAAACTTTCTATTAGCATTAGTTAAACCTACAAGAACTTATATGTATTATTCCTCTATCTCAGGGGTCTTCAAACTTGGCCCTGTATGACTTGTGGACTTCAACTCCCAGAATTCCTCAGTCAGGTACACAAGTCATAAAAGGGCCAAGTTTGAAGACCCCTGCCCTATTTCATCAGAGTTCTATTCATGTGCAAAGGAATTAAAGGACATTTTCACCATGTTTTAAAAAAGAGGAAAGAAAGAACTTCACTGGCCACCAACTTGGCTGCTTATAGAAGTTTGAGTGAGTCTCTTACACTAGTATTTTTCAAACTTGGCAACCTGAAGATGTGTGGCCTTCAAATACCAGAATTCCCCAGCCAGTCATGCTGGCTGGGGAATTCTGGGAGTTGAAGTCCTTACCTCTTCAACTGGCCAAGTTTGAAAAACACCAATGTAGACCTTGCTCAGTAATAGCCTTGTAAGGGGTGAGAAATTGAATATTTTCTGATTTTGCTGCATCCAGACATTTGATACAGACGAGATCCTAAACTGTTTGTACAGATAGCCTGTATTCTGCATGTTACCCCAAACTGGATTATGGAGCTAACACTGGACCAGTTCAGAATAAGAAGGGTCATTTACCTTGAAAAACTCATTGATGAAATGCCAATAATTTCACCTCCTCCTTTGAGATTTCCACCCACTGTTGCATGTTTCTAGATTTATACTAGAAGGCAAAATTTCACAGCTTACCTGTTATTCCCTGAGGGGAGCCCACCGGAGTGGATGGGTTCGAAGAGAAATTATTGCTAGAATGATCTGGAGAGTAGATCTGGGGAGGAAGGGGAAAAAAAGAATTTGGGAGCAGGAATGGAGGGAAAAAATATAATGCTTAAATACGCCTGAAAAACCAAGTCCTCTTTTTTGCTTGACGTTGGCCACGACTGGGACCAGAATTTCCGCTGTTAAGCAAGGCGGTTGTTAAGTGAGTCCTGCTCAATTTTGTCATGGTTGTTAAACAAATCACTGCAGTAGTTAAGCGAATCACATGGCCGTTAAGCAAATCCAGCTTCCCCCACTGACTTTGCTTGTCGGAAGTCAGCTGGGAAGGTTGCAAAAGTCGATCGCCATAACTCTTGGATGCTGCAACCTTTGTAAATACAGGGTGGTTGCCAAGTGCCCAAATTGCGATCTTGCGACTATGGAGATGCTGAAACACTTGTTCAGTGTGAGGACAAGTCATAATTCACTTGTTTCAATGCCATTGTAACTTTGAATGTTCAACTAAAGCAGGGGTGGGCAACCTTGGCTCTTTTATGACTCGTGGACTTCAACTCCCAGAATTCCTGAGCCAGCCACGCTGAGGGGAAAGGGAGAGACTTCCAAGCTGAGCCATGCTGGCTCAGGAATTCTGGGAGTTGAAGTCCATGAATCATAAAAGGGCCAAGTTTGAAGACCCCTGGTTTAAATATTTTTTCCTCATGATCACATGATCAAAATTCAGGCATTTGGGCAGGGGTAGGAAACCATGGCTCTTTTATGACTCATGGACTTCAACTCCCAGAATTCCTGAGCCAGCCATGCTGAGGGGAAAGGGAGAGGTTTCCAAGCTGAGCCATGCTGGCTCAGGAATTCTGGGAGTTGAAGTCCACGAGTCATAAAAGAGCCAAGGTTGCCTACCCCTGAACTAAAGAAATGGTTGTAAGCTGTAATAAACAAACAATTCTTATAGCTGTAGTTCCAACAGATGTACGTTGTGCTAGTTTTGGAAGTCTTCTCTGCAGATAAAATCAAAGGTTCTTAGAATGAGAAGTCATAATGAGACTTACTGAAGCTAATGCTTTTCCAAGTGCATCCCCTGAACTGCCAGCGGAGGTTCCTCGATTACCTGAAGGAAGAGAAGATAAAATCAGGAAGGACAAATAAACAAATGGAATATCAAGCCCAGACATTTTAGGACTATGAATGAACCAACAACAAGAAATTCTAAGTTTGGAACATCCCCACTGGAAAGTCTCTGTAAAAACTACATGAATACACTTGTTTTGTTGGTATTAGAAACATACTAAGTATTCTGCATGCAGTATCCCCCTTGATCACCCATTCTTTATTGGAGATATGCCGACATACATGGCACGGTCACTGCTGATGAGTGCTACTTATCATCCAACTTACAGGAAAACTTACCAAAGAAATTATTTTTAATTTATCAAGGATAGAACCAACCTAGAAGTAGGGAGAAATTTCCTGTCAGTGAGAATAATTAATCAGTGGAACAGCTTGCCTCCAGAGGTTGTGGGTGCTCCATCACTGGAGGCTCTTAAGAAGAGATTGGACCACCATTTGTCTGAAATGGTATAGGGTTTTCTGCTTGAGCAAGGGTTGGACTAGAAGACCTCCAAGGTCCCTTCCAACTCTGTTATTCTGTTGCTATTAAAGTAGGATATAAAAATGCATTTTGCCTTAATTGCTGCTCCTGCTGGGAATTTTAACTTTAAAAAACCCCCCACTGTATTCCAATTGTATATAGGCTGGGTGTTACGTAGCTTTGATTGTCACCTCCCAAACATTATGACTTTAGGAAATAAAGCTAAAAGCCAAAACGTGTTCCAAGTTCCCATTTTTTATATAAGAATGAATGCTCGAATGTCTCATATTATCAAACGCTTGGGACAAAGTGTTAAAACATGAAAATATTTTGTCCAGACTAAAGAATTCACATTTTATTTATTTATTTCAAAGAGTTATATGCACTCAATCCAATCAGGTTCAAAGTGGCTAATAACAGGGAAAAAACACATTAAAATAGAACCCATTATAAATCAAACAGAGCAAAGCAATGGTACTCCGAGGAATAACTACAACATTAAATCCATAGAATGTCCATCCCACATCTGTCTCTGGGGATGGGATGAATGCAAATGCTTAGGAAAACATGAGAGAAATGGTTTTTTTCCCTCCCTGTTCCTCGGCTAAAATGCTTCCTTCCTCTACAGAGACGGGATCTGAGGCTCTAACTGGCCCCTTTCCACTCAGATTTTGTGATGAGGGGGCAGGAAGTGTCCATGAGGGGGGCTGATGTTATTTGGTGACTTAGCACCCAGGGCCGAATCACTTTTTCAGGGAAACTGATAAGCTACAAACCTCCCATTGACTTTCCACCACCAACCGCTTTCCCCAAATCTATAGAAGAAGGGGTTGGAGACTGTTTCAAAGGGATTGCAGTTCTTTATTTAATTTCTTAATTGCTGGAAAATTATCCGTGTCCCGTCTTTATTATTTTTACAAATAACTCGAAGTGGCGAACATATCAAATAAACTTCCCTCCCCCTATTTTCCCCATAGCTACTCTGTGAGGTGGGTTGGGCTGAGAGTGAGTGGCTGGACCAAAACCACCCAGGCAGGTTTCACAATTAAGGTGGGACTTGAACTCATGGCCTACCTCTTTTATTAACTTAATTACTAATACAATCATTGTTCATTTTATTAAATTAACATTCAGAGAAAAGGTTTGTAACAAGTTCATGTGAGAATGACGTGACTAGAAAGCTGGATTTCTAGCATTTTCCCATTGGATCTAAAACCACCGGATCTCTTCTTCCCTGATCCGCATTATCCCCCCTTTCTAATCCTTGTTTATAACAGCAACCCCCAGGGACCTCTGTATTTGTCCCACTGGGGGCCTCTATGACTGAAATGGATTAAATTAAACATGCGCACTTTCTTAAGTAATCTCCACTTCCTGGTGGTAAAAATGATTTTGAGTGATCTTGTGGATGAATTTAAGTGACATTTAGTCTCTTCCCCCCCCCAAGCAGCAATGTGTTTGTGTGTGTGGGGGGGGGGAGAGAGCAGGAGGATTAAAAACAAGTCTCCAAGTCTATATGTAATAAATGTGTAAGAGATGAAGATTCTATGTCTGGCTGTCAAAGAGGGGAGACGTTAGTAAGTACGTCTCCCAGACAGGGGCTTAAAGCTAAATAGATCTATTTCCGTCTGCTGGGCTCCCCTGGCCCAAAGCCACTCTTGAGGGATTAACCTTCATGTGCCAGGAAGACACAAGAAGGAGAGGAAGCTCTGTTAGAAGAGTGGCAGTGCACCCAAAGCAGGTTATGTGGGTGTATGATTAGGAAGCAGACACATCCAGAGTTATTTTGGCCCCGTTCTTCTTCCTCCCACCATAGTTGGTGCTCCGTGGTATGCTTCTAGGTCTAAAATCCACCCAAGTGCTTGAAATTTCTGTGATAATCTCAGTGTTTGAATATCTAAGAGGCTGCCATAAAGAAGAGGGGGTCAATCTATTCTCCAGAGCACCTGAAAGTAGAACAAGAAGCAACAGATGGAAACTAATCAAGGAGAAGACCAACCTAGAATTAAAGAGAAGTTTCCTGACAAGTTGGAACAATTAATCAATGGAACGACTTGCCTCCAGAGGTTGTGGCGGTTTCTAAGAAGAGATCAGACAACCACTTGTCTGAAAAGTTATAGGGTTTCCTACCTGAGTAGGGTGTTGGACTAGAAGACTACCAAGGTCCTGTCCAACTCTGTTATTGGGTTATTCTAGTATTTCAACCTTGTTGGAACTACTGCTTTCAATCATTAGGTTTGTGACCAAATATCTGTCCTCACATTCATAACATCAAGATGTTGGTTTCCATCACCATGTTGCGGCTACTATGTGGCGTCCTGCCTCTCTGCCTGACATGAAATTAAGCAGAATTAAGAAATATTTTATTTACCACTCTTGACTTTAAATCAGAGAGATGGCAGGAGGATTGTGTGTGTGTGTGTGTGTGTTTGATAACTATTTGCTCTTTAAAATACCTAGTCTCTCCAATTTGGATTCCTAAACTTTGGAAGTTCCTATGGCAGCTCCACCCTTAAAATGGAAAAAAAAAAAGAACTTTTAAATGTGTTTCCATGTTTTGGAGAAAAAAGACAAAATACTTACCCAGGACATTTTCTGTCCCTCCAATCGGGGGAGTGTGGCTGGACACTCCATACTGAGTGGAGGCTGAAGAAAATCCAGGGACTGACGGGAGACCACCGTTGACTTCGCCCGAATGCATCTGATAATTCTAGAAGGGGAACAAAAAAAGGCATTTACAAAGGGAGGAAGGGGATACATAATGGCGACCTTCCCTTATATTTCTCCTTTCAGACTCACTTTAGAATTTTAGGAGACAAAGCTTCACGGTTTACTCTTTCTACTCCGAACGTGAACCTCAGGAAAGCAGTATAGGTAGTCCTCGACTTACAACCACAATTGAGCCCAACATTTCTGTTGTCAAACCAAGGCAGTTGTTAGGCAAGCTTTGCCCCATTTTATGACTTTTTTTGCCAAAAAAAAAAAAAAAAAAGCCCTGAAGTTGAACTCTAACAAGTTGTATATCTATGGAGATTCTCAATCATCCCGGTCACGATTGTCCCACAGCTGCTTTTTCCAAAAGGCAACAGACGTTCTTGTTTTTTTTTTTTCTCCTTGAAAACGTTTTGCTTTTCATCCAGGACTTTTTTTCAATTTTAACTCCGTTCAGTTAGAACTGAAGAAGCTTCTTGGATCCGAGAAGCAAAACGTTTTCAAAGGGGAAAAAAAAGGCAGTCCGGTTGCCTTTTGGAAAAAGCACCTTTGGGACCAACAAGATGAAGTTCTTGTTTGTACAGAAATAATTTGCTCCTCTTTGACTCTGGATGACATGGCATTCCCCCTGAATGGGGGGATATTGGGAGTAATCTGGAACTCACAACTACTGTGGTAGATTTTAAGATTAGTACCCAGAAAATGAAAACATTAATAAAAAACATGAAGATGATGGATCAAACAGAACTGATAGAGAAAACTGGCTTAAAGACTGAGAAAGAAGTAAAATATTTGGTAATTATGTGAAGATATGGAATGAAATTTAAAAAGACAAGCTAAGATGGTAGAAATAATGTCACTGTTGGGAAAAGTTTCTGTGATAAAAGTGAATGTCTTGCCTAGAATGATGTTTTTGTTTCAGACAATACTTGTTTTGACAACTGATGTGCCATTTAAACAATGGCAAAAATATATACAGGTAATCCTCAACTTACACCACAACTGAGCCCAAAATTTATGTTGCTGAGTGAGAAATTTGTTAAGTGAGTTTTGCCCCATTTTATGACTTTTTTGCCACATTTGTTAAAGTTAGTAACATGAATTAAATGAATTAGGTTTCCCGATTGTCCTTGCTTGTCAAAAGATTGCAAAACGTGATTACATGACCCCTGGATATTGCAACTGTCAAGCATCCGAATATAAATCATATGACCATGGGGATGCTGCAACAGTCATAAGTATGCAAAATGGTCATAAGTCACTTTTTTTCAGTGCCGTTGTAACTTCAAACGGTCACTGAGTGAACTGTTGTAAATTGAGGACTACCTGTATCTAAATCTGTGTTGCAAGGGAAACAACCAAGAGCTAAATATTAGATTTTATCAAGATATAAAGGACAGAGGACTCGCTTGACCTGATCTGAAATCGTAATTTGCAGTTTATTGTTTGGTTTGGATGAAAGAATGGATGTAGGTGAGAAATAAAAGACTTAGAGTTAGAAGAACATTTACCTGACATATGGGTGGCATGGATACCTGAGGTATAATAAAGTCAAAGTTAGTGTAGATTTAAAAAATCGTTATGGGAGATGTGCCACATTGGGAATACGGAATAGATACAAAATCATTGTCCATTATAAATATAAAATCAAGAGTACAACTGATGATAAGAGTCAATGATTTTCTTGATTTAAAAATGATTTTAAAAGAGAAGGTGGAATTTGTACTATACATAAGAAATAACTACATCTCTATAGAATTAAAGCACAACAATGATGAAATCTGTCTTGAATGCATTTGGGTCAATATAAAAGGGGGGGAAATGTCATTGCCATAGGTGTATACTAAAGGCCACCCAACCAAACAGAGGAAATAGATGAATTTTTTGCTAATCAGTCAACTAAGGTATGTAGGAAGCACATCACAATATTAATGGGGGACTTTAACTACCCTGACATCAAAGATCAAATAGGTTCCTGACAAACCTAGCAAACACCTTTGTCTTCCAAAAAGTACAGAACTATGGGATCAGCCATATTTTACTTAATTCTCACTAATAGAGATGACATGATAGAAGGTGTGGAAGCTACAGAAACCTTGGGGAGGAGAGTGATCATGCAATATTGGAATTCAACATTATGCAAGCACAAGCAATAGACAAAGTCAAACTAGATCTTGGACTTTAAGAGAACTATTTTCAATAAACTTAGAGAGCTTGGGAAGGACTCCATCAATGAGAATCCTCAAGGGGAAAACAACCCAAGAACCTTGGGAAAACTGAGATTATAAAAGCCCAGTCTAGCACAATACCAATGGAGAAGAAAAATAACAGCACTCAAAATAAACCGGCATGATTGCATAAAGAACTCTCTGATAAATTAAAAGACAAAAAGGACAAGTATAAAAAGTGAAAAGGGGCACATAACTAAGGCAGAATATCAGCAAATAGCCCAAGCCTGCAAAGATGAAGTCAGGAAAGCTAAGGCTGAAAATGAACTAAGATTTGTGACAAAGTGCTTGTGGTATTTGATAAAGTAGACCACAACCTACTACTTGATAAGATACAAAATGTGGGTTAGATAGCATTACCACCAGATGGATTTGTAGCTGGCTGACTGGCCGTACTCAGTGTGTGGTCCTCAATGAAACTGCATTTACATGGAGGGAAGTATGCAGTGGGGTACCCCAAGGCTCTGTGTTAGACCCAGTACTCTTCAACATCTTCATCAATGATTTGAATGAGGGATAGATGGGGAACTCATCAAATTTGCAGATGACACCAAGCTGGCAGGAATAGCCAATGCTCCAGAAGAGAGCTTTAAGATACAGAACGATCTTGACAGACTTGAACATTAGGCACTATCCAACAAAATGAAATTCAGTGGTTAAAAAAGCAAGGTTCTACATTTAGGCAAGAAAAACCAAATGCACAGGTATAGTATAGGCGGTACCTGGCTCAATAGTAGTAACTGTGAGATGAATCTTAAATCCTAGTGGACAATCACTTAAATATGAGCAGTGTGCTGCAGCTGCCAAAAAAGCCAATGCAGTGCTAGGCTGCATTAACAGAGGGATAGAATCAAGATCACGTGAAATGTTAATACCACTTTACAATGCCTTGATAAGGCCACATTTGGAATACTGCATCCAGTTTTGGTCACCACGATGTAAAACAAGATGTTGAGACTTTAGAAAGAGTACAGAGAAGAGCAACAAAGATGATTAGGGGACTGGAAGCTAAAACATAAAGAATGGTTGCTGAAATTGGGTATAGTTTAATGAAGAGAAGGATGAGCGGGGACATCATAGCAGTGTTCCAATATCTCAGAGGCTGCCACAAAGAAGAGGGAGTCAAGCTATTCTCCAAAGCGCTTGAAGGCAGGAAAAGAAGCAACGGATGGGAACTAATCAAGGAGAGAAGCAACCTAGAACTAAGGAAAAATTTCCTGACAGTTAGAACAATTAATCAGTGGAACAACCTGCCTCCAGAAGTGGTGAATGCTCCAACACTGGAAGTGTTTAAGAAGAGACTGGACAGCCATTTGTTTGAAATGGTATAGGTTTCCTGCCTGAGCAGGGGGTTGGACTAGATGACCTCCAAGCTCCCTTCCAACTCTGTTATTGTTAGATAAAAAAAATTCATGGTATTGAACAATGCAAGACAGAGTTTGACATGACATAGCAGGGAGGCTACTGTATGCGTGCACTAAACAAACGGTTGTAAGTCGAGGACTACCTGTACAGAATCTACCAACCTCTACATGTACTCATAGCACACCAGAGACCCAGGTTTTCTTACCATGCGTTCATGCTGGTGAAGACTGCTGAAGTTGCTAGACTGGGGAAGCGGGGAGGAAGAAGTGCCCAAGATGGCCCCATAATTCGACTGGCTCATGCTGCTGGAGGAACTCCACAGATCTGCCGAATTGTGAAGCCCATCTGCAAGACAGAAAGAGAAGAAGAATCAGGAACACTGGACGGAGGAGAGCTGGCTGCCCATTTCCACTTTCCACTGGAATCTGTAAATCTACATTTGGACAAGCAGGCACAAAGGTTTTCAACACTTTCTGCTAGCCGGGGAGCCAAAAGAAGTGGGCCCAACTAAGGATGGTTCAGCTGAACCTTCGGTCTGACATCATTTTTCCCATCAGACGCTCTTAAGACAGACTTCCCCAATCTGGAACCCTTCAGTCATGCTGGACTGCAACTAAACGCTCAGAATTCGCCAGCAAGTCATTTTAATTATTTATTTTCAAGTACCGTATCTGTAATACTGTGAGGTATTTCATACAGGTGGTCCTCGACTTATAACCATTTTTTAAGTGACCGTTCAAAGTTAAAACGGCACTGGAAAAGTGACTTATGACCGTTTTTCACACTTACAATCACTGCGGCACCCCTCCCCCCGTGGTCATGTGATCAAAATCTGGATGCTTGGCCACTGGCATGTATTTCTGACGGTTGCAGCGTCCCGGGGTCATGTGATCCACCTTTTGCGACCTTCTGACAAGCAAAGTCAATGGGGAAGCCAGATTCACTTAACAACCACATTACTAACTTAACAAACTGTGGCCAGAAATTTTGTAAAATGGGGGCTAAACTCATTTAACAACTGTCTAGCTTAGCAATGGAAATATGGGGCTCAGTCATGGTCGTAAGTCGAGGACTTCCTGTGATGGCAACGACTGCCTGACCTATAACAAAAAATTTCACCCCACCCCATTTCCCCCAAAGTCCAGCTTTCTCCAACCAGCACTCTCCAGAGCAGTGGTTCTCAACCTTTTTAATGCCGCGACCCCCAACTGATCATAAGTCGAGGACTACTCAACCAGTCGTAAATCGGGGACTACTCAACTGGTGCAGCACCGTTTGCAGAATGGGACTTTTGGCGGGCTCAGCAGGGCAGAGACAGCCTGGACAATTCCTATTGGCTTTTGAAAGCCAATAGAATTAGACTCTATTCAAGAGAGTCTATTCTATTGGCTTTCAAAAGCCAATAGAATAAAAGGGAGTAGCAGAGCTAAGGAAAGGGGGGAAAAAATGGCAGACTGCGTTGTTTGGCGACCCCCGTGAAATGGTTGTTTGACCCCAAATGGGGTCCCGACCCACAGGTTGAGAACCACTGCTCCAGAGCTACCAATTGCAAGTCCCAGAATTCTTCAGTCAGCACGGCCATTGCAGAGAATTCTGGGAGTTGGTCAACCCCTTCCCTCCGGCCTATGTAAGTTGAGGATGGCTACTAAAATTGAGTTCTTTTAAGTTACCTACCTGGCATGTAGAAGGCTCCAGGGTAGACGGTGCTGGGAGGCTTGGAAGTTGTGTAGTTGGCTGAGTCCCTGCTGTATTCATCACCTGAGTTGGGTGGATACACCTGGGAGAAAAACAGGCGGAATTTAACTTTTTTCAAGTTATCTTATGTTTCCAGTGGTTTGCTCCTTTTGTTTTTTTTAAAGGAAGGTCTGCTTCCTTTATTTAAAGGAGGACTTCTTACCTGTGGCAACTTTGAGATGTGTGGACTTCAACTCCCAGAATTCCTCCGCCAGCGTATCTGGCTGAGGAATTCTGGGAGTTGAAGTCCACAAGTCATAAAAGGGCCAAGTTTGAAGACCCCTGTCTTAAAGTCATCAAAGTTGGGAAACAATTTAAAGCAGGGGTGTTAAACTGCCAGCCTGTGGGCCGGATGTATTGTGCAAAAGCTGTGCCCAACCCAGCTCTGGCAAGGGAAAAAAGTCATGATACATCGCGACACATCACACGACACAGCAAATTTGACACCCCTTTATATTCCATCTTTCCATTTCATAGAAGTTGAACAATGAGGCGGTTATAAATTCAGGAGATCCCTCCCCTATGCCCAAAATGAGCACCACATTTAAAAATGTTAAGAGATCTTCTTTACATATGGAAAGCATATTAAAAAGGGAAGCATGTTAGGACCAATTAGCAGATTTATAGCCAACTGCTTGATCCAGCCTGATAGATTAAGATTCCTGCAGGTGTTTTAGATCTCTGCTTCTCATCATCCCCATCTCTCAGCCATGAAATCTCAACAAACCAGGAGGATTCCCAGTTGAGAAAGGTGGCTTAAGTTGACAGATAACTTGGTAAACACAGAACTCTATATTTGCTCTCTGCTCTTAACCGATCCACTGAAAAGAAAGTACTCTCTCCCAAACATATGGATCGTTCATTCATTGGAAGTCCCTCAGAATAAAACACTGCCTATTGATTAAGCTATGAAAACTATGTAGTTTGACTCTAGGTTTACTCAATGCACAATAGAGGTAGTCCTTGATTTACACCCACAATGGAGCCCAAAATTTCTGTTCCTAAGCAAGACAATTGTCAAATGACTTTTGCCCCATTTTATGATCTTTCTTGCCACAGTTGTTAAGTGAATCGCTTCAGTTGTTAAGTTAGTAACATGATTGTTATGTGAATCTGGCTTCCCCATGTTTGTCAGAAGGTAGCAGAAAGTGATCACATGACCCCGGGACTCTGCAACAATCATAAATACATGCCAGTTGCCAAGGGTCCCGATTTTGACCATGTGACCTTGGGGATGCTTCAATGGGCATTTGAAAAATGTTCATAAACCATTTTTTTTCAGTGCCATTGTAACTGAACGGTCACTAGTCAAGGACTACATGTACATAATGTGGATTTTTTGCTTTGCTTAGGGAGCTGTGTGAATTCAGACAGTTGTGAATTATTTAATAAAGTCCAATGGGAGCAATCTCTCAGCTTTTATAAGGAGGGGCCTTCCGATAAGAGTCATCTCTACCAATGCAACCCATGTTGAGTTGACACTTGGGTAACATTGAAGGACTTGGTCAGCAAAATGTTTCCATAAAACTACACAACGGCCTGTTGGGAGATCTTCCCAACTCTGACTACACCACACAGCGTAGGTTACTACTGGGGCACAATTTACCAACCCAACAACAGTGGAGAAATACAAGCTTCACCACCTTTATTGCATGAGTTCATACATGTTTCCTTCTGTTTTTTCTCCAACAATGCTTGATGTCTCTTTTTGCTAGTTCATCTCCAGATAATCCTCAGGATCAGGAAATGGAACACCTTTGAAGCACTGTAGTCACTTCTATGTTCCAGAGCTGGACCAGGTGCTTAGACCTCTCTCCCAGATTGCTGGGAACTCCCCAGCAATTGTGGGGATCTACTCAGATCCATCCACCTCCTAGGGCAAGCCAACCTTTAATGGGTCCTTTTATCCTGTTGGGCAACCCCAGCAGGTGAACCTGGAAGGGATCCAACCACCACAAAAGATTCATTGAGATGTCCTCCAATTTCAGATCATACACCAACTGCTTCGAGGAGAAGACAATATCCAAAGTATGACCAAAGATTACCTGGGATAAGTTCATGGCTGCCATGGAAACTGAATTCCTCAGTTTCCTCAAGATCCCACCCAAAGGCATGGAGATTAAGCCCTCCCAACACTTTAAGTCAGGAGATTTCAAAACCAGCCTTGAAATAAGGCTCAGGAGTTGAAGAAAAGTGGATGTTACCCTCTACAGCAGGGGTGTCCAACCTTGGCGATTTTAAGACTTGTGGAATTCTGAGAGTTGATGTTGACTGAGGAATTCTGAGAGTTGATGTCCACCAGTCGTACAGATGCCAAGGTTGGACACCCCTGTTTTATAGGCAGAATCCCTAGCATGTCTCTCCGGTCCACATATTGGCAATCACAACCCACCCCTTCTGAAGCAGTCACCAAACTTCTTTGGAAGATTATCACTACTCTCTCCTCCCATTTTGGGGTTATAGCTGATGCAAGACCCAAATGCAAGGTGGCTAAATTTCTGAGAGTGCTGTTGCCCTCATCCAAACAGGTCTGAGTAATGCTCTCTCACACCCCTTTCTTTTTGACCCCATTGGCAAGAGTGATTCTATCAGTGGTTCCCATCAACTCCGCTCTGAGGTTCATTGGAGCCACTGAGTCCTCCCAACACATCAAGGTAATTTACTTTTGGTGCAGCTGGTCTCAGTTCCAACTAATAACTTCCAGTCCAGCTTTTAACTACCCAAGTACACAAATGCCTAAAAACAAAGCTGAGGACACCAAACATTAATGGGAAATGCTGTTTCCTGCTTTATAACTCAATTTTCTAGTCCTCAAGGATAGAGAGAGGCTTGCAAGTTCCCAGTTGATGGGAAACTACATTTCTGTATTTTCCTGCCAAAGAGGAAAAACTCACAACACCCTCCTTGGATATGGGATATCAGGTCAAAACAAACGTTATCTTCCCACCACATCAACATTTTGCAAGATGATATTCTTCATTTAATCTTTTGGTTCTCTCTGGTTTAAGGAGTGGCACACCTCTGTAACAGGGTGTCTCCCCTGTTCTGTTTTGGGTGCTGCTGCATCTATGGGTTTGGGAGAGATTTTATCAATGTTGAACTACAATTATAGCTTTTAATCTCTGAAGGGTAAAAAGCTGAAGACATTTTAAATGTATGTTTCATTTGGAAATGCAGCAAATTGTAAAGTCTAGTTTTCCGGGTATAAATGGAGGAATTCCCCTTTCTTTTCGGGGGGGGGGGGGGGTCAGGAACAGTCCAATGGACGAGAAAACTGTCTTCGGCTACACAATGTACAACTGGCTATGATCATGTAAGAAGAGGTTTTCGGTGGCTAAGGGCCAATCCACATTTTTTGGGAAGGCAAGGGCTGAGTGGGCAGGACCAGTGATGCAAGAGAGGCAGGTCAAAACTTTGTGCTGTTTTTCCCCCTCTGGGTTTTCTATATGTTTGTGTGTGCACATGCATGAGTCTTTTGTTTGGCTGGGTTCAATCTATTTTAAGCTTTTGCTATGAACAATTCAAAATGGAAGGAACTCAAGATGTCAATTTTTGGCAGTGCAGGTCGGAGCAGACACCAGCAAATGCAGAAAAAGGAACAGAGGGGTTACCGGTAGTCCTCAACTTAGAATCATTTGTTTAGTGCAGGGGTCTTCAAACTTGGCTTTATGACTTGTGGACTTCAACTCCCAGAATTCCTCAGCCAGCGTGCCTGTCCACAAGTCATAAAAGGGCCATGTTTGAAGACCCCTGCTTTAGTGACTATTTGAAGGTACAATGCCACCGAAAAACTATTGCATGTGATCATAATTTGGGCACCTGGGAGTGTCCTGGGGTCATGGGATCGCCATTTGTGATCTTCCCAGCCAGCTTCCTTTCAATGGGGAAAACTGGGTTTACTTAATGACTGTGTGTTCACATAACTGCAGCGATTCACTTAACAACCATGGCAAAAAGGTCATAAAATTGGGTGTGACTCACTTAACAACTACCTTGTTTAGCAATAGGAATTCTGGTTCCAAGTGTGGTCATAACTCAAGGATAGGGGGTTACACACAAACATAGTTCTAATTGCCAGATCAGAGCTGGGAATTGTGGTCTTCACTCCAAAGACTAGCAAAGGGTTTTTTGGTTTTTTTTTTTTTTGGAAGCAGGAACAAAGACTAGATTAGCTTTAGTTCTGATTCTGGAAACGACAAAGACAGGTGAGCTTTTTATGATGGTTGTGTGTGTGTGTGTAGCTGGTTTTAAAAAAATTAGACCTCTGAAGATCTCCCACACATACCATTATGATAGACTAGTAACCATCAATGCTCAATCTTAGCAGGAGTGCCCACTTAATCTTAGTATCCTTTTCCTTCTTTTCCCGAAGGATTTAAGATGGCAGCTAAAAAAAAGCCTTGAAAATTCAGGAGAGACATCTTTGTCCGGATGAAATGGCCAAGCAGTTAAGCAAGGTTCAAATCGCATCAGTTAAACAAATACCGTAACTTGTCTTCTCAGAACAGAGTAAGCCTGTGCTGAAATGGCAAGTGAAAGGCAAGGTTTTAGTTGGCTGGGAGGCACGGTCAAAAACACTCAACATCATGAGACGGGAGAGGGTGGGGGGGAATTGAGCAGCAGGCAACTCGGCTGGCCAGCAGAAATTGGTGGATTTCTTGCAGAATTGCTTCTCAGTAGAGCAAAACCTGGTCTTTGGACTGGATTGTTAATCGCAAAAGGCTCATTTCTCAACTCTTTGTACAAGAGTTTTTGCATCTCTCTATGCATTTCTAGGGCAGTGGGAAAAATCTCTCTCCGCTTTAAATCCTAGAGTGTCTCCCCACCCTCTAGCTAGGCTGACTGAGACTTCCTGTCCTTCCTGCCTAGTGGCCACACATGTCTATTACTGTTTTTATATCTCTAGTCCACCAGTTAAGTGAACATCTCTGAATGGATCTTGGTTAGAAAAGCTGGGGGCAAGCTTATCACCCTCCAACGTCCAAAAGTCTTCAACCACCAGGAATCACTTTGGTGAGATCAGCGGTGTAGAAACGGGATAAA